ACCCAGAACTTAAACGTTGTGGAAAAGCCCTATAGATATACCTAGGTACCAACATACGTTTATACGAGTACGGGTATACAAAAGCTATCACAGCCACAACCGATTGTGTTTTATTTGTGTGTATCTATTATGGAGAAAATAGTTTAATAAGTAGATGAGATCTGTATGCGCATAGGTTACGCAACGAATTCCTCATCATCATCAACTAAAATAAGTTTAATGCTTGTCATAGGTCTCCCGTTAGTTCTCCACGTCCATCGAACGATAAGTCGCATCGCATCCATTGGCTCCCCGCATCTCTGAATAAGTTGTCTGTCCACCTGGCAGGAGACCTAACCACGATAGGTCTTGCGGTCTACGGTCGCCACCCGAGCACTTTTCCGGCCCATCGGCCGTCAGTCCTTCGAGCGGTGTGGCCTTCCCATTGTCATTTCAGCTAGCAGATTTTAAGAGCTATTTCGGTGACTCTGATTCTTTGGCGAATTTCAACATTGTGGATTTTGTCGCGCAATCAAACTCTAAGCATAGCTCTCTGCATCGCTCGCTGGGCGACTTTAAGTCTCTCTAACATACCAGAAGTATGGGACCACGTATCTTTACTGTATAACATCATCATCCTAAAACTTTTTTGCTATCTTAAACTCTTCTTCTTCTCTCTTCCCTTGTATATTTTACTGATCGACTATCTACATAGAAAATAAAAAATATCTCTTTTCTCGTGGTTATCCAAACCTCCAACCAAACTGCTGCAACTCCTGTAAGCCTGGATCAACACTGAAACACTGAAGTCCGGCGCGACCCATGAACATGAACGACTGTCTTGGGTCAGAAGATATTATTTTTGAACGTAGGACATATAACGGCTCAAGCCCTAAAGACAGAGGACTGTATAACTAGGAGAAGCACAGTCACCAAATAACAAGGAAAATCTATTATATTAGGACCTATGTGTGGGCTGTTATACTTGTTTCCAGTAACAGGTATAGCAAAAACGCCTAAACCCACGGACATTTGTTCTACATTCCACAAGCCTGGGCAGCTTTATCAAAATACATAAATAGATACACAATCGAAATAAATTTCTGTTTCCGAAACAATTACAACAATGAATTAAAAGATTTATTTACCCATCTTTATTGGAAAGAGAAAGTTATATCCAACAAGCGAAAACAGTTCCAACAGACAACAGATAAAATCTGAATCCACTTTATTCGATACTTTTCGATGATAGTGAAAACAATTGTTCTCTAGATTCGCACGGATTCAATGGCACGACATTTATAAATGTAGAACAATCCACAAAACTATGGAAAATAAATCTTAACTCCATAAGATATGGTTTTATTTGCAGTGTGAAAGGTATGGGAACAATTATGGATTTTATAATCGCCGCCGGTCGGTTGTAATTAACAGTTGACATGTTTGAAGGCTTTTAATTATTTGTTTATGCATGAAAGCCAATAGGTTTCATTAACTTTTTTATTGGTTTCATTAGCAATTTCTCCAGCTTGATTTTCTATTTAACTGGATATACGTAGTTAAGTTCCATGGCTGTAAGTAATTATGTAAAAGACAAAAGTCAAAGTCAAAGTCAAAAATCATTTATTCCATCTAGAACCTTACAGGCACTTTTGAACGTCAAACAAAATTTTGAAGATATAGTGTCAGTATGTCGGTCAGTCTTCTTAGTGCTGCAGACAGACAGCAGACAGTATCCACATTCAGCCATGCTTACGGGGCATTAGCAGGCTATTAAAGATTGCCAATATTCGAGACTCATCATTATTATCTTCAATTAAAATGGGTAATAGCCCATTGCTTAACCTAAGCTTCCTCCCCCGTTGATTTCCAGAAAGACCGGTTTAAACTTTAAAGTTATCTGCAGCAGCTCCCTGCAATATTAATTAGATCGTTCGTCTACCTTGTAGCTGGACATAGTACGCTGCGATTGCCGTATTCCATCATAATAAAGAAATAAATAAACAACATAATCATGGAGTGACTATTTGTCAAATCTTCTACAGCTAACAGATTCCAAATAATATATAACCATTCCCACTCCTCGCAAAGCCGACGTGCCTAGACTTAATTCAGCCAATTCAATAACTTTCATATGGAAACTAAATCTTGTTTCAATGAAATATTCTCAAAAGCCCTAAAGTATTCAGATTTTTACTAACAAAAATAACATCACAGAATGGATAAAAAAATTCTTCGAAAACAGACGATTTGTCGATGACTCTCAATTGCGACATAAGTATCAGGATAGATTAGCGAAACAGTAACTATACCTATTATGGCTCTTCACGGAATGCGAAAACAATGATATTAATTATGTATGTAAGTGTGGGAGAGCCAAGCTTCGGCATGAATGGGTCGGCTCGATCGGAGTAATACCACGGCCTCACAGAAAACCGGCGTGAAATAATTACAGCTATGTTTCGCCGTGTGAGTACGGTTACTGGAGGCCCAATCTTTCCCCTCCCCCAATCCGAAAATCTCCAAATCTCTTTTGGTGTTTCGGTTATCCATGGACAACATAAAAAAAATGTATGCAGGTAGCCTACATGGAACCCGAAACCATTCGACGAGCGACTAGAGAGTGGCAGTGAAACGCCCTCATTTAAAAATAAAATCATACGTAGTACATACAAAACAATATTATTAAATAGAACATCAGAAGCCGAACCCTATCTGAGTTCATTTAATCTTCAACAGCACAAGGTGAAACGCGACCACGTGTAGGTAGGTACAGTTACACCACAAAGCTTGATGCTTTCATATCTATCTATCATGGGGTGAAATTGGGTCAGGGTGACCCGGCCTAGGTCTGACCTAACCAGCCCTACCTCACCTCAACACAAAACTGACAGCTACTCATGCATGCCAAAAGTAATTCACGAAAAAGTTTAACTGTGATTTTCTATGGTTTCCAGAGCGACTGTTGGGTATCTGCGTATTCTGTCGTCCAGTAGTCCTATGATCTTTTTTGTCTATAGTGTCATAAACACCATAGCCAAATAAGGGACTACACGTTCATAGAGACTGAGAAGCAGCGATCTCTGATACATATAAACTTGAAACTTTTTAAATTGCAATCTTGAACTTGCTTGCCAAATGTGGAAGTTCTGCGTTTTGCAGATTCTACCTCATGTACCTAGTGGATTGTTATGGAATATAACTATCAAAAAAATATGCCCTGAACCGTGCTCCAGAGGTTATACGTGCTTCCGATCATTCGATCACTCGATAATCATCCGAAAACTCATTAAAAAACTTTTACCATTAAAGAAAATTAGGAAACATTTCGTTAAGTTACGGCTATAATCAAATTACTTAATCGAATCAACCTTGAAAATAAAAAATCGATGCTATAATCGATTAGGTACACGATTATTCTAACCTTCTGTTGTATTCTATGTAGTTAAGTATGTGAATTATGAAACAAATTACGTAATAAATTCATTTGAACTTACGTTTTGTGGCACGCGACGAAAACTCATAATAAAATGCCTGGCAACTTTGATTTTGTATGGGGAACGAATGGAACTGTAAGTGGAAAGAATTCCAATACTTCAGAAGTTGCTCAGCTTTATACCTTGTAGGTTTAAAAGTTATCTGCGCTGACCTAGATCTTTGTAATAGCATCCTATCTTGTTAACTTGATATCTTTGTTGTGTAAGGGATTTTTCTTGCCCTTTGTTTTTCCATAACGTCATTTTTGCGTCTTGAAAGAATAATTGGAATTGTTTCGCTATCCAGATTATCATCATACAAGCTACACACCTAAACAAAAGATATAGTGGTAGATAGTTATCCGTTAATGATTTCCATAAAATAGACAAAACGTACATACAGATTTTCAGCATTGCCAATCCTAACTTTGTTAAGTTCTCCCAATTCTATATTCACAAACTCGGAGTCAATCATAGCAAGCTTGAAATCCAAATATTTAATAAATCTCCTTGAGTATTTAGCAATACCAACAACTTAATAGAAATACCCATCTAACCTTTCGATGAAAAAAAAATACAGAAATAGATACTCCTTCACTACCAAATAACAATTTTGTATGGCACTGTGCCATCAGGAAATGCATCTATAAAACAAACTACTAACTGAAATCAATGCCCATCTTTGTTAATGATAGAATCAACTAGTAATTACAGACAATAGGAGAATTATCACGATATCAGTTTACAAAGAATATCTACGTTTAATGTACCAGTTACGGGTACCCGGTCGACGCAGGAAGGCCGCACGCCGCTCGTACCAGGCACACTTTCATATCTTGACGATACCCACAACTACATATAGTATATCTACTCACCTATATTGTATAACGCTAAACGGGTCATAGCTTCGTGATCCAAGCTCGTTTGTTAGGACTTACTAACAGCTGTTTCGCTTTGATACCACTCACTTACTAAGAAAGTTTTAATAAACACTTAAACTTTGTGCTGTTTATCTAGGCACTACTTGATTGGTGCAAATCAATTTGATTTTTATCTTTAGGAAGTTTAGACACATGTTTCTACAATTAGATGTATTCTTATGACTGTATCTTATTCCATGTATGTTTCCTCCATTTAATTAAAATGAAAACTATTTCGAAATAATAAGATCCCTAAAACACAACCTCAATATATGTATAAGTATATATACATATATATAACACAAACATAAGACTACGCAAGACTGTCCTTACTAATAGATAATTTAATAGAAACTAACGACGCAACGTAATGAATTGAAAGACCACGAAATAGACACAAAAGAAGAACAGAATGCGGAAAACATAAAAACGATAACCGTGAGATAATGTGAAGTTGCGAGACTTCATTACGTCACAATACTACGGGTGGATAAAACAACTACAATCTATGCAATATTTCCAAAACACAAGTTACAAATGTAAACGTTATTAATGATAAAAGTGTGAAGTCTGGCGTGTGAATGAGCATTTTTCCACCTCTTATGTGTACTAGTCAAGAAAAACAATGAAGATCTGTGTCGCTATTTTACTTTCAACCATTTGCTTCGTTAATGGGTTCAGCACAAAACGATGCCTTCTATTTAATAAAAAATGTAAGTACCAGCAAAATTTTGTATCAATTACAATATAAAATGAGTGCCAGTTTTAAAATAGATAGTAATTTTGAAATAAAATAACAGTTACCTAACTTATTACATCACAAACTACTAGGTTTTCCGCAAGGTGCTATCTTGGGACCTAACATTTAATTATTAAATACATACACTAAATGTAAACAACGACATGCTGATGGACTATTATAAATACACGAATCCGAAGCTTATAAACAAAAGCTTAATATTAGAAAATTAGAAGCTTTCTTTATTGCATTACTTTATTTGTTTTAAGTAAATCTTACCTTAATGACGTTCGTATTTTTCAGGCGTATCCCATTGTCCACGTAACATGCATCCATATCACACACGATGTGATGGAGAGACGATGTCGCAACGCACTTGCGATGACCCTAATATCTATGTTATAGGTAGGAATATCATTTTAAAAATCAAATATTATTGTGATAGTTACCTACAGCGTCAGTCTGGGCCTAAAAGTTTGGTAATTAGGAGGAAAATTATCCAAGGCCAAGTAAAGCATTAAGGATCTTTTTATCTCGCCTTTTAAAACTCACAAAATTAAGAAATAGGAATAGGAACTTGGACTGACTTGGACCAATTAGCTTGGACTGTCACAACCAATGCCCATTAGAAGTACTCTAATACATAGGCCCTAGAAAGAACCTATAATAGCAAAAAAAAATCATACATCGCTTATATTCAGACGTAACGTTCTTTACTACATACTCCTAGAATTAAAGCAATTCGCGCACACGCCACAAACAATTAAACTTAAATCTTAAATTCAAAGTTAATACTAATTTTATTTACATCAGGCTACACGTGCGGATGGTCTCGATGTGATTGCAACGCTGATTTGGCCCTTGATGAAAATACAGGAGACTGTGTGCCATACAACAGTTGCCCGCTAGACATGCCTCGTGCCAGAGGTCAGAGAAGACAAAAATTCGGCATGCCATCATCCAAAAGAGTCAAGCCTTCCTTTCCAGATGCATTTGAAAGAGCGTCGCGTGGATAATGTAATTTTCTAAGATGTTTGTAATTAAAAAATTGTATTAGGCTTCATTTGTTTGATTCTTGTTTAAAAGTTTGAGAGTTGCGTTTGCAACTGTTGGTAAGTTGGCTATCCATGTTTACTGAAGTTTACGAAAATATTGTTTGCATCGCAATTTGAATCAAACATCCATTCATATCACGGAAGATGGAAAACCAACAATGTTTCGTGTTCATTTTCCTTGAAGACGGATTGTGGTGAAGACGCGATGCATCAAACCCTGATCATTTTGTGCCTCATCCATGCTACAATTGCTATATATTATGGCAAAGTTGGAATCAGCAATTGTTTGATGTACAACGGAACTTGTGAGTATGATTTATCCATACTATTTCGTTGTTTACCTACCTTTCATACTAAATTTTTTTTTTTTTTTTTAAACATTGCCCCACACTAGGATTTTCTCCTGTGTTGTGGGTGCGTTTACAAACATACAAATTCACATACACATCACACCCAGACCCGGGACAACAATTTGTGGATCACACAAAGAATTGTTCCGTGCGGGAATCGAACCCGCGACACGTTGCACGGCAGCCAGTTGCCCAGCCACCGCACCAACTGTGCAGTCAATGAAATATATAAAAAATGTTGGCGATTTTTTATAGTTCATTTAGCGTGTAAGATTTTTGATCCTGGTATTTATGAATGCATGTATTTTGAAAACCTAGAATAATATTTTGAAAACATTTATATTAAATTTAGGATTAGATATTTTGGGATAATAGGAAAGAGATCTCAAAATAACTCAACCGGCTCGAAATTCCGAGCCGAAAAATCGAGAGTCTAGTCTAAATTTTGGTCCTAGAAACTAAAAAAGACTTCAATTTGCACAAGGTTTACTAATAAACAAGTCCTAATAATAACGTTTTCGACATGAATACCTATACTAAAACACGACCGAAGCCATTAATTAAATTCTCTTCAAAATATTACCGCTATTATTTGAAGAGTTCGAAGTTAGTCTGAATTAGGGCGAAAATTGCCTGAAAACTTTCCTCCTTTTAAAGTTGTTCTGCGTTGGATTGTAGTGTTTATGTACTGAAGCCTAGGGATTAATCTAAAAATAATCTGCTTACCTACTTAGGTGCTTCGCAAAACCTAAATGTCTGTGACGTTACAACGACATGTAATGTTAGTTACCTAATTGAAATCCAATTAAGTGTTTCGAAACATTAAAGCGATCTATTTATGAAAATATTTGAGTAGGTGGATAATCTCTTGCGAAATGTCTCTTTGAGTTACGAATATAAATTTGGCTTTAATTAATTTATGTTTAAAATAAGGTCTTTAGGTACCTACTACTAATCTTTGGTACCTTTATAGTTAACTAGAGAGACGCCCCGGCTCCGCAAAGTTGCAATGCTGATATAAAATTTCCCCACTAATTAATGGATGCTATAATCTATTAAAGTAACAGCATCAAAATCCATTGCGTATTTTTATAGATTGAAGCTTACATAGGGTTACAAAGATAGAAAAAGAGACTTTGTTTTATACTATGAAGTGAAGTGATATAAAACTCTCGAGAAATAGGTCGTTTTTTTGGGAAACCGTAGCCTATCTACCCATCAAATTTTATATTAGAATTTCATTTAGGTACATTTTTATACAATATTGCAGGTGTCTCCGAATGTCCGGAACATATGCACCGTGTAAACAGCGAATGTCGACCGACACCGTCGCAGCGGAGTTGCGACGAACCAGTCGCAATATCTATGGGGATCATTTGCGGCTGGTCGCGATGCGATTGCGACTTCCCATTCGTTCTACACTTGCCTTCAGGCTACTGCTTCTTGTACGAAGATTGTCCGTGATTGGATAACGCAATCCATTAAAATGGAATATTGGAACGTTCCAATTTAAAATTATATTACGATAGGAATTGATTTGTTTTATAAAATAAATTGTTGTTTTTTAACCAATTGAGTTTTTATTTTACATTTAGGTCGGGTTTTAATATCAGAGGGCCTAATTCCCATCCCTCTTTCTTGCCCGGAAGATGCACGTATACATATACACGAATACACTTCGTGGTGGGCCTACAGTTTCCATTTCGTTTTGTGTTTTGTAATGGCAATGTAGGATCCTATTGATGAAAAGCCGGTCGAACAGAGACGTTAAATTTTTTATACCTAGTTATTTATCACGTAAACACTTAATACTTAATTATACAATACTTTTACAAGTAGAAATAGGGATTAAGAATAGAATATCGTAGGTACGGTATCTAACTATTTGAGAAACGATTTAGCGTCTAAACTGCTGCTAATAGACAGTAACAATAAGAACCTACATTGCGTTATGCTTAAATCTGCATTTCGACAGACCAGACAGAGTTAACTATCTGTTAGGTCTTAGAATGTGATTCTTGCATTTTTTCAGACCTTTTAGTAGTCGAAGTATTATAAGTACAATATTAATATTAAAACTATTGTTCGATTAAAATTCCTAGCAACATCTAACAGATATAATAGAATTACTTTAGCATAGTCTACTGTCTTCTCCGTAGAGACGAATAAATGAAATTAAGCGGGAAGGTAGTGCAGTTATTACAATAGAGCTACCCAAGTATAGTAGCTATACGTCCGAGATGTCGAACCTTTACGTACCGTATCAGAATCATTTTAGTTTGAAAAACAGCACAATAAAATATTTTTTTTAAATATCAAATTGTGGGAGAGCCATGCGTCGGTAACAAATGGGTCGGCTCGACCGGAGTGATACCACGGCCGGCCACAGAAAACCGGTGTGAAACAGCTACAGCATTGTGTTTCACCGCGTAAGTGAGGTTACCGGAGGCCCAATCCTTTCCCTGCCCTAACCCCTAAATCTTCAAATCTCTAATTTCCCAAAGGTCGGCAACGCACTCGTGACTCCTCCATTATTGCGGGAGCCCATGGGCGGCAATGATTGCTTACCATCTGGCACACCGTTGGCTCGTTGGCCGTCCTTTTTTTTTCAGGGCAAAATCATCTTTATTCTCCCGCCCAGGGTTAGGCGAGAGAGTCAGACTATTAATGACTAAAAACCCCCTGAATATCAGCCTCGTTTGCCGTCCTATAACATAAAAAACTGAAGAAGTTTGCTTCTTTCGGCCACATCACTGTTGCTAAGTACAAAAGACAATAGTTTAGTTGGAATAAATGCCTTGACTTTGTCATCACAAGTAGGTTGCTAGGCGTAAATTTTATTACCTATCCGTAACGTGCTCAAAATAGTGTTGCGTGCCATCAATAGTGCGCGTGCCAATGTCTCGCATCCCTGGTATAGTTAGAATACATAACGGTATAAGATAGTTATCTTATACCTTTTAAAATGTTTAGGTGGTTTGAAATTGAAAAAATGGCAACGAAATAAAAACGACAGCTTGCGTTTTTTTTTTTTTTCATTTTGTTTTGCTGACCTCGCCGTGATGGGGGCCAGTGTGGTTGCGTCGCTTGCTATATCCTAGAAGGGACCCAGATGCCCAGAGGTTATCGTCGCTGCCCATTAACTTACGCAACAACGGAACAACGGAGAAGTCACGAGTGCATTACCGACCTCTGGGGATTACGGTTTCGGCGATTGGGGAGGGTTAAGGGGCGGGAAGGATTGGGCCTATGGTAAACTCACTTACACGGCGAAACACAAACCTGTGATTGTTTCACGCTGGTTTTCTGTGAGGCCAGGGTATGAATTAGGTCGAGCCGATCTATTCGTGTCAATCATGTCTAATGTCCATGTTGCACCTGTACCGGTCATTGTTGGGAACGACATCCTTGAAGTTGTTGACCATTACACATACCTTGGTCAGATCATTCAGCTAGGTAGGTCCAACTTCGAGAAAGAGGTCGCCCGAAGAATCCAACTCGGATGGGCGGCGTTCGGGAAGTTACACGATGTCTTCTCATCGAAAATCCCACAGTGCCTGAAGACCAGGATGTTTAACCAGTGTGTGTTGCCGGTGATGACGTATGGTACTGAGACGTGGTCCTTAACTTCTGGCCTTCTTTATAAACTCAGCGTCGCTCAGCGCGCGATGGAGCGGGCTATGCTCGGGGTCTCTTTGCGCGACAAAATCCGAAATGTGGAAATTCGCCAAAGAACCAAAGTCACCGACATAGCTCGTAAAATCTGCAGGCTAAAGTGGCAATGGGCAGGCCACGTCGCTCGAAAGACGGACGGTCGATGGGCCCGAAAAGTCCTAGAGTGGCGACCAAGGACCGGAAAACGTAGTGTGGGCAGGCCTCCCACTAGGTGGACCGACGACATCGTCAGAGTCGCGGGGAGCCAATGGATGCAGGTGGCCACTTATCGTTCGACGTGGAGAGCCAAGGGGGAGGCCTTTGTCCAGCAGTGGACGTCTTCCGGCTGATGATGATGATCTATTCGTGACGAAAAATGACTCTCCCACACTTGCGTTCCGAGAAATCGCAAAGTACTGCGGCCTCAGCCTGGAAAAACTCCGACACACCACCTCGCCCCACCCAGGGCGAAGTCCCTTGATGATTTTCTTCTCAAAACAAGGCTTTAGTTTTACAATGCACATTCATACACATTGATAGGAAACCAGCAGGCAGACAATAGTTATCGAGAAAAATTTAAGCAAAAAATGTGTGTGATGCTTAATCACTACAAATTATCTGGTCTATCTACCTACTAACGGGAGACACTGGTCACTTTTTCAATCAGTGTGGTCTTCTGGGGATATAGAGTAATATTTTTACCTGATTGTTTTTTTCCATATAAGTGTTGTGTGTTTGTACATAAATAATAATCACATTCTCCTCAGTTTTTTGTTCTGTGTTTGTTTGTGATGGACATTAGAGATAATATGGTGTAACTAGCATAATAATTTTGGATTATCCTGTCTAAGCTAAATGTTTTTCATTACAGGTACACCGGCCACTGTCCCATGCTGAAGTTTCGCTTCGGAAAATGCTACGGAGACAACACGAGACAAATACTTAGAGAAATACGCTCTAAGGGACTTTTCAAGTAAGATGTTGATATAATTTACTTTACATTTCGTAAGAAATCGTTCGTGCGCTCGACTAGTTTCAAACCACACCGGGACTCGAATTACGAACTATATGCACGATGGGCATTAGGAACATTGATTGACGTACCTATCCATTCACGTCATGGTGTTCAATGAATACTTATACTTAGGTATTTTTAACAATTTATAATGTTAACTAAAATTCGCGGGTTACTCACGTGTAAATGATGAGAAAAGCTCTACTAGTTTCGAACCACAGAGGGGTTCTTCCTCATGAGTAGGCTGCGCGACGTCGCCGCGTCGCGCACGCGCCTACTCATGAGGAAGAACCCCTCTGTGGTTCGAAACTAGTAGAGCTTTTCTCATCATTTACACGTGAGTAACCCGCGAATTTTAGTTAATTTAGTATGTCTCACGATAGTTATTATAAAAACAATTTATAATGTTATACAAAAATACGTAAATGATAAGTACAAAAGCTAAAAGAACCTTTTTTCTAGATCTGATACACTCTATGAGAACTACAAGTATATAACTAAAGTTTGACGTCCTATCTTAATTAAGTGCCCTTCTTATCTCATTAATTAGGCCTACATAATCCGTACCTAATTAACTTGAGCCTCCTAAACATGCTGGAATTGATTAAAATTAAAAATATAATTATAGTAGGTTGTGTATTAAACCTTTCGTTAGACATATTAAATAAATCAGCCCGGGTTGCGAGTGCAAGTGCAGCAATGTGGCGCGGCCCCAGCCTAGAGCAGAAGGATCGGGGTGTTTAGTCAGTCCTCCCTCTCGCCAGACCCAAGACGAGGCCTTAAGGTCCCAAGAAAAAGACATTTTAAATCCAAACTAATATTATAAATTCGAAAGTAACTCTGTCTGGCAGTCTTTTCTTCAAGTCTAAATTACTGAACTGATCTCTGTAAAATTGGGTACAGACATAGTTTGGAACTCGAGAAAGGACATAGGATAGTTCGAATACCAAAAATCTGCAGGAAGCTAGGGGCTTCCTTGTTCCATGCGAACGAAGCCACGCTAGGGGCTCATATTTAAGCCTTTGACTGCCGACAAAAAATCATTGAAGGCAAATCCTCCGCTACCGTAGGTCACCGGTGACCTACGTGGCGGTTAACGTGTTAAGAGCAGCATTGCGCATTACAAAGTCACATGCGCGTTGTCTGTTATCTAGCTAAACAGATACGCGAATAAGCCTTTAACATAGTAATTGATTTCTGTACAAAGGTGTTGTAATATCAAGAGCATTAGACATAGCTCTAATGTAAGAAAATACGTATAGATTTTTTCCCAAGTAAACTGAGGATCAAATATTTAGTAAACTCCATATAAAAGTATCCTACTAATCCTAATTCCTACTAATATTATAAATAAGAAAGTTTGCGAGAATGTGTTTGCTATTATTTGGTAACACAAACAAAAACGATTTGGTTGAAATTTGGTACCTATGTAGATAAGTGGTGCCCTGAATTATCACGAAGGCTGCTTTTTATCAACATACTAGGCGGGAGAAGTCGCGGAAGCTAGTGCACTTTAAACTCCTTACTAACGAGAAACAAAAGATTTTAGATATTCAATTTGATATCTTAAAACCACTATAACCAATCATCACTTACCTTACAGTAAGCCACTGGAGTACCGCCCACGAGACAATTACGAGCTGAACCATCTCCCACGCTTCGAAGAGCCACAGAGGGACATTTACGACGGGATCAGAAACAAGCCACCAGCGCACATGACGGGGTACACTGGTTATGTTCCTGGGATGAATTTTAGGTAACAATATACGTTTAATCTTTTTATAGAATAAACGAACAAACAGATCAACTGATAGTAAGTGCCGTTTATAAGCACGCGTAATTCCAGAAAACCAAGAAACCGAGAAATTTAAAAAGAAAGGGCTCATTTGCTTTCTGATTTACTTATCATAGGTACATTTGGACGAATCGATTAAAATCAAAAGTTATTTCAATCCGAACTTGGAAGGAACCGAAATGTCAAGGATTATCTTACATTTAAAACTTACGATGAACATAAAAGGGTCGACTACAAAATAAAGTCAAGAAATGAGCGTGACAGCGAACCGTTTACAATATAAACGGCTGTACTTTCAGTAAAACATTTGCGTCAAACTTAAAAAAAGAAAATAAAAATGCATGAATCATATCACACAAAATAAAAACAATTAAATCAATATTTATTCACTTATTAATGGTGACAGAGTAACTGAATGACGAAAGAGAATTAAAACTATGGGCCGCGCCGTGTTTTACTCCAACTTGGCACTAAAATTGTAATCTGGATAGGCAGAATAATTTAAATCAGAAACTGATCATACATCACAGCATATAAATCTCAATAATCTATCTTATCACAATAATAAAAGACACATTTTAAAGTCAATCGAATTATAGAATTATGGCTAATAAAGATAAGAAGAAATCTAACGTAAGATTTGAGCTAGATAAAGAAATAAAATATGGTTTAATACTCATTTCAGTTACGGGAAATCATATGGACGGACGGCAGATGACTGCATGGCAAACTTTACAGAGAGACAGAGAGAATTACGACGCAAAGCAGATTTAAACAGAAGCTATGTTCGATCAAGAAGCGCGCCCAAGATGGAAACAGTTCATTCAAGAGATGAAATTCGACGAGACTTGAACAGATTTAGGGAGATTAATAAGTATAAAGGTATGTTTCATGAATTGGAATAAACTTTTGACTATGTAACACATATGTATCACACGATAAATAGGTATTTTTTTATTATACTTCCAAAAAGTACTGGATGTTTAAAACATTACATGAACATATCATGTTTACAGAAATTGGTTTCTAGATTTCGTATTTAACAACAGTACAGCAATATGGTGTCCTTCAAGGAAGTAACATGGGACCAACATTAATCATATTCGTTTATATTTACAGAAAACACGATATCGCCGGAATTTCCACCAATTGCGGGTTACACGGGACACATCCCACGAATTAAAGGATCCGAAGCTTCTCTCAGTCAACGATACCATTGCGCGGCAAAACGAGGTTTGGAACTCATTAAAATGGAAAGAGAAAATCGTAAAGAGTTACAAAATGCTGATACAAATATAAAAGCAATATTGAAAGAGAATGGAAAGAAGTATTCTTATTGGAACTGGGGATAGCATACAGGCAGAAGAATGTTTTTCACCAAGAGACGGTGAACATTCTTCTATAAAACGGAACGAACAGTATTTAATTAGAAGAATTAAAGAGGATTCGAGTCAATATACTAGATTTGTACGTCGTTAAAGTCATTGTCCATAGGCCTTTTTTTTAATGAATGAATGAAGAAATTATATTTTAATAATATTGAGAAGAAATCTAGTACTGAAACAGAAAACCAGTCATTACCAATGGTAGAAATATTCAAAACGATTATATGAGTAGTATACTAGTAATACTAGGTCATGAGTTGCCTTCCTCATTTGATAGAACTGCAGATAAATTAATAGACGCGGAATTATAATCATCAAACTGTTTCCGTCCATAGCTGGACTTAGGATATATCACTTTAAAAGGATGTCACTAAGCTCGATGTTCAGATATTCAAGAAAATTAAAATATTGCAACGATTTCAAAAAGAATTTAAAGAATGGCTGTGTGAGCTGTGTGTTTGTGATTTATTTGAAACTGCACTCGCTATAAGTAAGCCCTAGGGTAGTGAGTGTTATCAATGAATAGTAAATATTGTTTGTGTGTATTATACAAAAGTTACTAAAAATAACGATTTACTCACGTGAAATCACTGAGAAAAGCTCAACTAGTTTCAAGTCACAACGGGACTCTTATTCATGAGCGTGCGTGTCGCGGCGACGTCGCCAGTCGCCAGTTGGCTGCGCGAGTCGCAAGTCCCGTTGTGTCTTGGAGCTAGCTGAGATAGTTATTTTCAGTAAATTTAGTGTTATAAATATTTTTCTTGTTTTTCTTTTTATCACAATGCTGAATGAGGATTCCTGAGAAAATGTGATATGTTTAAGAAATCAACATTTAAAAATCATTGTCGACGGAATGATCCAACGTTTCAACTTCATAGCATTCGGTGCACAAATAGAGAAATGCATGCAAAGAGTATTGTGATCATACTTCGAATTTGACAATGCATGAGTACAAACACTGAAACATAGATTTATTTGTTCTACTGTAAAAATAAGAAATAAACAACATAGTTAATGGGAAATTATTTTGTTTTATTCATAAAAATATTTGTCAAATCTCCTAACTGATTGATAGGTCGAAGTATTTTCGAAAATCTTGTTTGCTTCTAATGACTGCACGGTTGGCATACTGGCTGAGCTGCTGGACTGGCTGCAATGCAACGTGTCGCGTATCCCAAGAAACAGGAGAAAATCCTAGTGGAGCTACGTTTTTTTTTAAATGTAAGGTTTGCAAATGGCAAAGACCTTGTATAACAATATTGTACAACAAATCTCGTCTGGGTAATAAAAACTTCATGATTTGTTCCGTAACGTCATTTGTTAAAATAATATAATTTTATTACATAAACTTGGCTTAGTAACAATATACAAAAATATATGTTATCTATCTACTTACATCAGATATAAAAAATACGAAAATAGTTACTTTTCATTTTTGGCTTTTGTAAACTGGCTGAAAATACTCGTATCCAATCTTATATACTTAGTGTTTTTTTATTATATTTGTCATGTTCTACACGACTATTAAAATTTAATAATTTGATAACTTACATTAAAATTATTGCTAAATTACACGTGATCTGTATTTTAGTAATTTATTGAGCTATTTACAGTCGATTTTTTTAACTCACAAAACAAACCCGAACATATTTCATATAACATTCTGGTTTTCTTCAATTTAAGTTTTAATTTAACTAGGTATATTATAAACTAAATATAAGACTAATGTAAATAGCCGCTTTATAAAATACAGTTAATATATAAATAAGGTACTTGAAATACAAGGCACATATTATGGAAAATACTTAAAATTATATCTTAGTTGCCTAGACTTAGAAATTCGTTGCCATTCAGCTGCAACTAGGTAAAATAATAATTATGTAAAATTATCATACTTTTAGTAATAAAATATTATTATGACAAAATTTCCTAATAACTAATATTAATAAAGACAGCAATACAGTCTATGAGGAAATCCTAATATTTAAATGCACCAGTATTGAAATACTATTCGCAATATTTCTATTTTTGAAAATGGCAAACAAGATGTCTTTCGGATCTTTTCACTAACTTTTTCTACTTTCTGTTAAGCCTTTGCCAAATCCTCCGCTAATGGTGGTCTCCATGGCGTTTAACGTGTAAAGTCAAGTTTAAGCTTCACATTTTTTTGTATCTATCTTAATTTAACTGCTTGCACGGTTGACAGAGTGGCTGGGCAACCGGCTACCATGCAAAGTGCCGCAAGTTTTGTTGCCGCAAGGAACGACTCTTTGAGTGATCCACGGCTTGTTGTTAAGGGTTTTTGTAAACGCACCCACGACACAGGAGAGAATCCTAGTGTAAGAAATATTTAAAAAAACGTTATAGGTATTAGCTCCTTTAGGTAATTACAAACGTTTTACCTTTTATTTGCTTTTTGCTTGACGTTTCTGTCTGCTTGTGACTATGGCAGGTGTAACACTGCCGAAACGTCCACCAAAAAACAAAAAATATTTTATAAAAAAATTAATAATAAAAAGTACGTGCGTGTTAAATCCCGTAAAACAGTAAAGTATTCATATGCAACGCGAAAGTTTAAAGTAGAGTACAGCATTGAATCCATCCAACCTTCTTGTTTACCATCCCAAATTAAAACTAAACTAAAACAACCAACAATAAACTAACTACTAGGTGTAATTTCAACGATCTTACCAGTTCTTTCATCGACACCATCAACTATTATCGGTTCATCAACTGTTTTAACTTCATTCACTTCTAACTTCTCAATTTTTTCTGCCTTTTCTTTATCTGTGGCTAATTCTAACATTAAAGTTTCTAGTTTCTGAGCTTTCCTTGTCTCGTTGTGTGTTATCAATGCACATAAGTGCTCTGTCAGCAACTCTTTCTTCTCCTTTTCCTTTTGTAAATGGATTTTCGCTTGCAGGAACTCTTTCTCCACCTTTAAGTAGTGTTTTCTGTAAAATTATGTTCAAGTATTAGTTGTCAGGGAAAGTTAATCTGAAGGTAAGAAATCGGCGCCTCCCAATCGAGTTCAGTGTGTTACTGGCCTTTTAGGGATTGAGAATTTACGGATATAGGGGGAAGGGATCTTTCGTAATCTCACTTACACGGCGAAACACATCGCAAGTGTGGTCACACTGCAACGCATCGCACGCTAGATTTATTCCATGTAACAATCTGGCCGAAATCTTTGTACGATTGAATGCCAATGGAAAATCAATTAATTCGGCGTTCGCGCACCTATTGTCTTACTACCATGTCTGGAACTACCACAATTGCAAGGTTAATACATATAACTTACTCTGCATCAGCATAGCTCAAACAAGCCTGGTCGATCTTCTGCCTCAGTACAGAAACGTCCTGCGAGAACTGACTGTCCAGTACTTGTAGCTCCTTCTTGATCTTCTCTAGCCTCATCACCTCTTCTGTTGTTTGTTTTGTCCTGTTGTAAACAAATTGAAACATTTTATAAAACTTGTTTTTATAGTAAATTTTTTTTATAACTCCATGTTTATTTGTCTGAAAGCCAAAACGGAGCTATTAAGACAAATTTGTGTTATAGGTAGACTTAGATAATATATGCCGATCTCCTAAGCAATGGTTGACGCAGTAGCTGAACAACTGGCTACCTACTAGCTGCGAACGGAACATAAATTCTTAGCATGACCCACAAATTGGTGGATCGGGATTAAGTGTGACATATTTATGTGATTTTTTTATTAAATAAATGTACTGCTTTTAGTCAAGGAAATGTCGGAGACGGAGAAGCAACTTGCTATTTTCTACAATGTTTTAGCCGGAGTAGTACCTAGTGATTTGGTAAACGACGAAGAAGACATCGTGCATTTATTGCCCATAAAAATATTGAGCACATTTCAAAACAATGTACCTATCAGATGCCACATCCTCCTTACATTCACATACTATTTTTCGTAGAATAACACTTCTACATAATTTGTAAGTGTGCATATGCATGTTACCTTTGCTGCATATGCATAATTATGCATGATTGCATAGGAGTGGGATTGCATCCTGCAACAAGCCTGAATTTTTGTCGCGGAATAAAAACTAAATATTTTTCCTAACATTTAATAACACTTCTACCCGACTTAACACCTTTACATCAACCATAACTTAAATAAAACATCACATCATGTCATTTTGTGACAAATGTAGTCTACTACACCTAGGAAATACACAAAACACAGTTACACAGAAAAATATCACCAAAAAGAAACACAAACCATATTGTTTTAGTGACCAAATTGTAGAATTTGTTCAAATTAACCATTTTTATATATGAATTTATATGAACGACACAGATGACTATCAGTACAGGACATTTGAAATGAATATTGCACACTGAATCGTTGCCGGTTGCCGGAGATAAAAACTGAACGCCACTTGAATTGATAATACGTTTATTGATAAAAAGATATACTGAAGGCTGAAATTGTGAGTTTATTTCAATACTATTTGGATTGAATATGGATTTATTAGTATATGAAACATACAGCACGCTTTTTATTTTTACGGTTGGCCATGGAGGGCATTTTCAACAACGGAATTTAGCCAAAGGATATATAGCAGAGCCATGCTTCGGCACGAATGGGACCAGCTCGACCGAAATAATATAATAAAACCCAAAGGGGAGATCATTTACTTGGCGCTTAACTCCACAAATAACCAATAACACATTTCCCACACTTCAAGAAATTCAAGATATACTAATAAACAGTTAAAACCATTGACAAAATAGCGTTCACTCGGTTTCATTGTTTTTTTTTTTTGCTGTGAGAATAACCAGACAAAGCCAATTCTATTGTGAGGCCCAAAAATATTTGTTTTAACTAACACAATACAATTAAACATTTAAAGAAGTATTTGCGCACTAGCGACCCGCCCTGGCTTCGCACGGGTGCAATGCTGATACTAAATTTCTCTACTTTTAAATGGATTATTATACATTTTAACCTTCCTTTTAAATCACTCTTATCCATTAAAAACACCGCATCAAAATCCGTTGCGTAGTTAGTTAGCACCAGTAGATTGTAGTGCTAAGTAACAGAATTGCGCATAGGTAATAATTACCAATTCATTATTTTTACGTGCGTTTATTAACCGACTTCATTTTTATATAGAAATTCGTAACGTCACGTCACGCACATTAACAAACTCTGAAACCTGGTCACACGGTTGCCATAAATACGGAGGTACTCACGCCAGTTAAGAATGTGATGATCATTCACTTGTGCTGTTTAGTGACGTCATTGTCGTCAGTACCTTACCTAGCCTTTGAGGCAAAACTCAACCGCAAAAAGTTTAATTTTCGCAGTTTTTTTTTATTCAATAAGCATTTTACATGAACAAATTAAATTGTGGTGGTAGACAGGTAAGACGCAAGACTTTTCGCATGTGTGTGTGTCATGTTTTTATGAGGTCACTTACGATATTATATTAATTATTATAGAAATCAAATCATATATATAACTTCTTCGAAAAAGTTAAGTTTTTTATCAACTAAGTGAAGTTTAAGTGTGGGAGAGCCATGCTTTGGCACGAATGGGTCGGCTCGACCGAGTGATACCACGGCCTCACAGAAGACCGACGTGAAACAACCACAGCGTTGTGTTTCGCCGTGTGAGTGAGGTTACCGGAGGCCCAATCCTTCCCCTCCCCCAATCCCTCCTCAATCCCTAAATCTCCAAATCCCTAATCCCTAAAAGTTCGGCAACGCACTCGTAACTCTTCCGTTGCGGGTGTCCATGCGGGATGGCGGCGCTGATTGCTTACCATCAGGTAATCCGTCTGCTCGTTTGCCGACCAATTACATAAAAAATAAAAACTTGGCTAATTACAAGCCACGTTAGGGGCAATGTCCTAAAAACAGAAAAATACAATATTTTGCAATCATATTCAATTGTATTCGTATCAAATTAATTAGTTGTGACGTTTAAATTGACTATGGGTACATACATATATAGACAAATTAGATATACAGATCAATTCGCTTTGGTTCTATCATCAACAACTCCTTCAAAGTTCATTGACCTCCAAAACGATCAAATTTGCTTTGCGTGGTTTTTACAGTTTATAAACGAGCGTGGCCCGCGTCTTACTCGTCTATGGTAGGTCTGGGTTTGAATTTTTTTATAATAATACGAGATAGAACGACAAACGAGCAGACGTATACCTGATGGTAAGCAATCAGCACCGCCCATGACGTCCACAAAAACACAAGAGATACAAGTGCGTTGCCGACCGTTTGGGGATTACGGAGGGGCAGGATTAAGCCTCCGTTAAGTTCACTTACACCGCGAAACACAACGCTACGGTTGTTTCACGACGGTCGAGCCGAAACATTAGTGCATGGCTCAACCACAATCAAAATTAAAATGATAAATAAAAATACATACCTATCAGCTAGAGCCTTCGCCAGCATCTCCTTCCTTCTCTTATTCTGTTCCTCCATTAGCTTTTGTCTTAATTGAAGTTCATGTAATTTCATCTTATGATTCTCCAGTTCATCTTCTGAATAATTCTCAACTCCTCGCACAATATCTGGTGCGGCATCCATACTGGGCTTTCTATTACTTAAAACTTCTGCGTCCTCAGTAGCCATTTTGCTTATTTTATTATTATTGTTATTAACAGAAGATTCTATATTAATTTCCTTGTTATTTTCTGTTTTAATATTATCATTGTTGTTAACATTTTCTTTATTATTTTTATTTAGAGCTTCCGTTGTCTCGTTGCTTGGTGTTGATGGCGATCTCAAACTAAGTTTGCATTTATCAAACTGTATATTGTCTATAGCATCATCAGAATTCAGCTTCTGTAGCATGGGTAGTTTGTATTGGTTAGTGGGTCTCTTTGGCCTGGCGCCAATTTTGTCGAGTTTTTTAACATTGGAAATGTTTATTTGTGGAACTGTAACACGATAATTAAGTATTAGTTAATCACTTAGCCTTGTTACATAACAAGAGTCTTTCCAGGTCTAAGCCATTGAGCCAGTTTTTGTATTTCCAATTGAAGGTAGGTGAGAATAAGATTCAAAATAAAATCTGAATCAATGGTTTAAACCTAGACTAAAGATAAATCTGGTTTTGTAAAAAGGGGTTTAGAGTTTTTTTAAGGGGCTAGCACTAGCTATCTCTCTTTCGTTGTAGGCACACAAAAGCAAATATAGTTACTTTCTCTGGGGCCTTAACTGTGTTTAAGTACATACATATGTAAAACTACTTATTACAATTTAACTACCTTTTTTGCAAGAACACTGTTTTTATATTTTTATAATCTGCTGCCTATTACTGTATCTAATAAATAAACAAATAAAATCAATTTATTAGTAGGTACTATTGTAAACTTTATGATAATAAATCCAACACTTACTTACTTCCCATCATCTTAGTAAAACATGAAATATAAGGAGACTATAATGAGTGTTATATCTACATATTAACTATATTAAGTATGTATGAAAGTATGGAATAATAAATGGTTTTAAAATATATAAACTTCCCCACCATCCTAAAATCCTTAGGGACTTATGTGCCTAACACATTTTAAACACTTACACCAGGTTTCCTAAAGGCTGATTAATGTTAAAATCAAATTAATCTCTGGTCAAGTCGTCTGATTGGTTGACCGAATTATCAACAACCAATCAGATGACTTGGCAAGAGATTTAACAGGGAGATTAGTTAATTTTAGCGTTGACAAGCCTTTCAGAAACCGGGGGTAAGTATTGCAAGTCTCCAAGAGCAGTACTGAGCAGCTCTGCACATTTTTCATTAATTTATTTCAATGCATTTTCTGCTATCTTTTACAGCAGTTTTAAGCTAAATCTGAGAAAAAATACTTTGTATACTATGTTATTCTAAAAAACTTACTTGTTGCACACAATAATTATAGCATATTATATTACAGATTTTATCAATATGCAGCCTTGACTATGTGTAATCAGACTCATCTATGATTCACATTTTATTATTTTTAAGTTTAGAATACTGGCAGTATACACATAACAATGCATGGATCACATTATCTCTTGATAAAACTTTAGAGTAAAAACCTTAATTCTGTATGGAGTGATACAATATTTCTGCAATTTCTTATGACAGTAAAATTATTAAGTACTCTGATGATATCATCAATTTTTAAACTGTTGTCATAGAATACATTACAATTAACAACACCTAGTTGAAATTAATGATGTTTTCTTTTCAAAAATTATATATTTCAATTATATAAATATAAACTATCCTAGCCTAAGCAAATGTTTACACTTCCTTCTAGGTACTTTTAATTCGTACAACCTAACATTTATATTTTTAATTAGTGAACCAGTTTATTTGCTGTATTATTAATACAGTCTTTCTCTTTGTTATAATGACCATGAACTAGTTTAAATTATGGTATAAACAACACGATATAATTAGTAACGGATAGGATATGTGCACTTACCGCTGTTCGAGCCAGTTTCACTGGATTTTATTCGTTTTAATTCTTCTTCACTGAAGCCCGAGAAAGTCGACATTGTACGAAGATGTCTAGCTTTGTCATTTAATTCTACAGGTTGGAAATATAAATAGGATTTAACATATTAAAGTAAAATTGTAGTTCTTAATGTTCACACACATCACAAATCGTGACGACGACAGTCGGTGGTCAGTTTTGGTTTACTTGACAATTGACATTTTTAGTAACGTCATAGTATGACAGCAATAACAAATTCTAAAAAGGCTAGATATTACAATAACCATTGATGTAAAATAAAACCGGAATTAAAAATCTATGGTAGTCTCTACTCTCATCAAGTCTGTGTTGTGTACTTGTGTCCATAGTGAAAAGTTTGTCCATAGTTTCTGACGGCGTTAGCGGTTCGGCTTAGAATTTTTAGGTTATATTTTCTGTTTAGTAAATTTAAAGTTAGTAAAACTTATGTGTACCGTTAATATTTTACGTGTTAAATGCTTTACTATAAATTATCCTTTGTTTGCAGAAAATATAACAAAAATGGCGGCGGCAATGCCAATAAACCCTAAACCTTTCCTCAACAGTTTAACAGGCAAATCTGTGCTAGTTAAACTAAAATGGGGCCACGAATATAAAGGATTACTTGTATCTGCTGATGGATACATGAACCTACAGTTAGCTAACACCGAAGAAATCGTTGATGGGTCGTGTACAGGTTAGTTTGTTTGTGGTGATAACAATGCGATTTATTCGGTAATTAAAGACATTATCAAGTTTAGAACTAAACGAGTAGGTACTTCGTTTTGTTTTGAAGATTTTTAATCAGCCTAAGCACCTTTATATGTTTTTGAAAATTATAAATAAGTAGTGAAATGCTTGTCAACAGATTTCTTAGTACTGAGGTTACTAAATAAATATGTACTTCATATATAGCTATTTGCATGTTCATTGTTACACTTTACTCGGCAAAGTTATGTTAAGTTATGTTAAGTCCACCTTGTACACAGATGTGCGTACAAAAGTGTAAATAAATAAATAAATATGTTCTCCCATGTGATGGGTGTGTTAACATCAATATAATATCTCAAGTACTTAGTTACTTACCACTTGACTCAGCAAAACCTGTTTGAGTATCACAAAATTGTAAGTTCTTCAGATCTTAAATCAGTTTTTTCACAGTTACTCTATTGAGAATTACCACACTTGAAAGTTAAAGAGACTTTTAAACAGTTGATGTTTTTAATTTTGCTCAGTCACAGTGCCATTGTATTTTGTTATTTCATATTATTATGCTATTTTATTTTCAGGAAACCTTGGAGAGGTTTTGATCCGTTGCAATAATGTGCTGTATGTAAGAGGCGCTGAGGAAGAAGATGAAGAAGGAGAAATGAAAGAATAAAGTAACTCATAAGGACGTTAAAATAAGGTTTAGATTAAGATTTCCATACTTTAAGTTCTAATAAAGATATTTTCTATCTACAAATTGTTCAATGATTCCATTTTTAAACACCACCATTGTCTAATAAAACCAAGTAATATTTTTTTTTATATAAATAACTTTGCATGTTTCGCTGCACAGTTGTAGTGGTTACTGGGCCACCCATCCTTCACTTCTGCTGCCAAATAAGTGGCTAAAACCTGTGCACTATACAGAATAACTTTTTGTATGATTCAACAAGACAAATGTTGCTTGTGTCCAAAGCTTTTAAAAGTCATAGGAATTCCTTGAGGATTTACAGCATTGATCCTATGTTAAGGCTTAAATTATTTGTATTGATGAGTTTACACCTTACACTTAGATCGGGTGTGAAAATGATTGGAGTTATGTGTAAAAAAAGAATGATAGCTTTTTTTCATGTAATTGGTCGGCAAATGAGCAGATAGATTACCTGATGGTAAGCAATCAATGCTGCCCATGGACACAACGGAGGAGTAGGAAACGAATGCGTTGCCGACCTTTTAGGGATTAGGGTTTTGGAGGTTTAGGGACTGGGGTGGAGAAGGATTGGGCCTCCGGTAACCTCACTCACACGGCGAAACACAACGCTGTGGTTGTTTCACGCAGGTTTTCAATAGGCTGTTGTATCACTCCGGTCGAACCGACCCATTCGTGCTGAAGCTCTCAACTTAGCTTATCAATCAACATTTATTGAAGATATTTTTGAATCCATGTGGGTTATCTAAGCCGCAGGCGGAAGCTAGTTGGAAGTATAATGGTGATGGTTAACATGGCAATAAACTAGAGAATAAAAAACAAAATTTGAAAATGCAAAAAAAGAACTAAAAAGGTTCATATCAATAATTATACACTTACTATTGTAACTACATAATTATTATTGAGGTATACTAAACGCCATCTATTCAGTGCGGTAGGTAGTTTACAACTAGTCAAATTCAATACTTTATCTGAATGCCGAAACTACAAATTATGATGTCATAGTTTACCTACTTATTTCTTAAAAATTAGCTAAAAAGCATCAAGCAATTAGTGCATCGACAGATCGATGAAAAAAAGTATAGCGAAAGACCAATGTATGAAAAGGCTATCGGAACATCCGACTTGAAAACATTTCCTTCATTTATGCTAGTAGGTTAAAACGAACGACAAGAAGATGAAGATATTGTCAGATTTTTACTGACGGAATAGAATACTTATTTATTTCATTGGTTAGGAAAAAAGAAAGGTTACATGTCACTTACAAATTAGCATTTAGCAAGTACATTCGGAGTATTTTATCTGGCGCAGTTTGTCCGGGAGGGGATCTTTTGCAACCTAATATGTAATTCTTTTCACACACATTTGAATTATATAAAGCAAGTGTGAGAAGTTTTGGATTTAAAATCCCATCAGGTCCTAAACCTGAAATTACTTATAAAATAGGAGTGACTCTGCGAGTCAAAGCCTATGCTGACGGGGGAGGGCCGTTCTCTTGTGGAGCGGTTTGCCTCTCTCGGATTTATTTAAATATTCTATGTCACCTATTCTATTTGAGAAAAGGAACGGGTTGAATTGACCATAATATGACATTTACTGACGGATAATAACACCGTTGTCCAGTGTTGTGAACAAGAAGTACCTAATGGGATCGCAGCAGCCCCATCTGAAATGGTCTACTGGCTCCAGGCCACGCGCATTATGCTCGGGCCTGGTTCTACATAGTTAGGGCAAACATTTATTGTGAGTGGAAAATCATCAAGTGCCTTCTCTCGCCCAGGATGGTTCGAGATGAAATGTCAGACTCTTATTGCACTGACCGGCTGAATCTAAATAGGCTTAAGGTAATGAAATAAAAAAAAATGTAAAGAAAGATGAAAGTTACCTTAGGTAGGTAATTTTAACAAGCAAAATTGATGAAAATATGTAGTCGGTCCGCAAATAAGTAGCCAGTGGCGCTGGCACATTGAGGACTAACGAGATTGTTACCGGCCTTTTGAAATCAGGGTTATGAGAATTGAGGATTTTTATGATTGGTATGGAAGGGGTGGAAGATGGATAAACTCACAGTGAAACATAACGCACAGAACGTGGCTCACGCCAGCGAGGTTCTTATCTAAAAGGTAGTGTCCTCCTATATCAAGGTAATTGATGATTAAATTGCTGTTTTATTACCTAGGTACCATTCGTTTCCGGTTTGATTCGTTGTTTGTGTTTAAAAGGGGTCACTTAAGGTCTTTCAAGATGAAAGATAACATTCGAGGTAAAATCAAATTACATCTTTTATTATATTGATTAAATTTATTAACGAATATTTACAAGGCACAGTTTACATGACCTATTTACAATCCACACATATTTTTAATGATAACATATCACAAAATATTGCACACTTAGAATAAAAGTTTTTTAGCTGTTACAAGAACAGTAAAAAATAAAAAAAGAAAGAAAGAAAAAACATTTACCTATTTAGATTCGCACAGGACAACAACAATAATAAAAAATAAATACAAATAACTAATTAATCTATATCAAACTTACAATTACAACCTACAACAAAACAAAAACAGAAAACTAAAGTTAACACAACTGCTCTGTGCGAGGCCAAAAGATCTCAGCATATGATGCGATATTAATTAAACAAATGTTAAATAACGCAGCGCTGGTATTCTGATAGGGCCTGGTGATGCCACGGACACCAACGGAACACATAAATAAATGATACATGTCTACCCGCGGGTGTTACAAGAGCTGACTCGGTGTCTGTGCTGTGCACTAAACAGACGCCGAGCAGCAGCGCCCTTTGAACCAGAACTTTTCTAACAGCGATCTCCAACCCGCCCACCATCGTTAACATTCTGACAGAGGAAACCTCTTGGGCAGAGTAGAAGTAAAGCCAAGGCCGGCAATGGACTGTTACAATCCAATCTCATGATCGATTGTAACAGTAGTATGCCGTTATGGCTACTAGCCCTCTGCCCAGGAAGTTCTCCTCAATCTCTACGGTTCCGCCATCATCAGCCAGAGAAAGAATCTGTAACAAAAAAATCATTTTTTAAGTACTTAATACTAACCGAAAAGCAAATCAGCAGTCACAAGTTTTGTCAAAATATTTTATATTTTGACAAAAACTGGCAACATGAGAAAGTGTCAAAACAAATGTAGTGCGATCGATCGATCAAGAGATATTATCTGTAACAGAGAAATTTATTTAACAATAACGAAAACAGTAGGTATACTGGGGGAGACCTATGTTCAGCAGTGAACATATTATGGCTGATTATACAAAATCAGAATATGGTGCGACTTCTTACCTGGTCGGGCCGAGAGTTCCGAGGAATATAAAGCTCCACGTTGGGTGATATTCTTCGCGCCACCTGCATCAACTCCGAGGCTGGCCTTGGCTCGAGCATTGTCTCGATGTCGTATTCGTTGTGCTGTGGACAAAACATTGAATTAATAAAATTATGCAAATAGTTCACAAGGTAAAAGCCCTACGAATGAGATCTAAATCCAAAATTGCGGAATAAAAATAAAATCAAAGTCCAGGTCGATACACATGTTAGATTTAGAGACAATTAAAGCTTGAGGACAAAACCCTTTAATGGTTGTGTTCTGCCAGTATGGTACAACAAAATCTTATCGTTTACAAACAATATGACAATGGACATGTGATCTCCTAATGGTACTTTAAAGTTACTTACTTTGGAATACGATGGACCTCCCCACGGCGGACTGAGGAAGACCATGTCGGCCTTCAGTTGGGATGCTAACTCAAAGAAATCGCCGACAATGAACTGAATTTTATCCAGAACTCCATAAACTTTGGCGTTCTGTTTGGCCATTTCAATTTTCCTTGGGTCGATGTCGACCGCGATTACTGTTGAACAAAACCAGACATTAGAGAGAACAACGCAAGAAATAACACGAAATAACATTCAACTACTGGTTTCTAGTGGGAAACAGTAGGCATCGAAGAAAAGTGTCACCTTTGTTGGACGTTCGTGCGAACTGTATAGTGTTGCCGCCGGCACCGCAGAACGCGTCCAAGACAACATCATAGCGGAACTTGTTCGCTATGTGGCTCGCCACGTTCTCCGGGGTCACGCTGAACCAGCTCTCGCGGTCCAACTTGATGCCTTCGTCGAACCTGTTGCCCAGGAAACAGAACTTTGTAAAGTACACTTCTGCATCAAGAAAACGTCTCATTTGAGAAATCAAGTTGCTATTCTAATTAGACGAGCGAAGAAAGTAAGTACAGATATCACAGAATAAAAAAACCTACCTGTGGAAGAGGATGTGCCTCTTGCGCCAGTATTTGTGGAGTACGGGGTCCTCCTCCACTTCGGGCGGCATACGCTCCTCCGTTTTGATTCTCCAATTCTGAAGACTACTATATTTTCTATAACAAGGCATATTACTTGTATTATATTCCTATTAGGTACTTGTTGTCGCAAACAGCAATGGCAACTGATGACTGAGCGCCTATGTGCCTGCGCATTACCAGTACACGAAGGGTGCGTGGGGGTGGGGGTGTAATTAGCGCAGGTAGCAACCAATTGCCCAATGACCAATCAGAGGAAGAAAGAAACACATTCTTAACTAATGATCATATTTCATTAATTATTCTGTTTTTGATTTTGATTTACAAGAATCAGGTAGGTATGTAGGTACAGAATACATGGAGAATACGATAATGACGCGGTGTTGTCAGCTGGGGCTGAGCACCGCCGTGTCCTCAGGGCAGATATAATGAAGGAGACCTCGTGCGACCGGCCGTAGTCGAGGCCATGGGAGCAAAAAGTGAGAAGCCGTCTCTTCTTTCTGCGATACAGTCATGTTCGCGAAGAAGTAGGCGGAGCGCGTTGAGGGAACTATCCTCGAGAACGGGTCTACCGTGTAAAAAAGTAATGACTTACATCAGTCAAAAAAGGATTTTCTTAATTAACGTAAAGTTTTTTATCCTGCATGTTCTGCACATTAGTCCATATTTATCGACGACTTTCTCAATCGCCATTCAATTAACATCATACCCAATGCCAAAATTACCTCTTTTGACAAATTCTAATGACTTAATGACTGAATGACTGAAGGCCAATTTTACTTATCGCTTATCGTATGTAAGTGCGAATAATTAACAAATATGTACTCATTAATTAGCACAGTAATGCGACACGTATAGTGTAATTCTGTATCAATAGGACTTCTAAGTTTCATTTTCAAATAATAAAAGCAGAATTCTGTTCATCGCGGTAAATAGTTTTAAGCTCTTCGGAGTAGGACAATATAACACCACGTGTCTATAAACAATAGCTGGGGGCGCAACTTTGTCAGCGTAGACCTCGTTAGTTGAGTATGGGGAAAACAATCGAGTTATCTATAAACAATATTTGTCGTAGTTTTGTTTTGTGTCAGTATAAATTATCTACTTAGATTTTTACAGAAATCCCAGAACGGTGGAACAATATGCATTATTTGTAGTTACATTACAAAAAGCGATCCGACCTATTGAAAGGGTTGAGCATTTGTCCAAATAATAAACAAAGGTGTAATCAGTTCTGCTAATATTACGTACTAAGTAATGCTTGCAACATATTTACTGCTGTAGATAAGGATAACAAAGAACGGATTACAAGTAACAAGTAAAAATATTTTTTTAAATAGGTGTTTAAATGAGCCGACTGATTGTTAAACAGCGCTGCCACATCGAGGAATTACAAAAGCGTCAGGGTTGGAATGCAAGGGGAGGAAGGTTGGTCCTCTAGAAACCTTGGCTCCGCAGCGAAACTTAACATTTCATTCATTTGTCATTTTCTCACAAACGCATCTAGATTGTGAGACCTGCAGCTCGGATCTGGAATTGAGTCTATCTCCACCCCATATACTTCAATGACTTGCGGTAATTTATAGAGAACTAGGCTTGTCGTAGCCGCGTAGGTGGTGTGAGTAAATCGTAGTCATCCGTTACGACTTTATGCCTGCTGTAGCCCCTTATATTAGCTACAACGGAGGCTACAAGCAGTCAACTGTATTAAAAGTTCTAGGTCTTGTTCCCCCAAAGTTTGTTGTTGCCCCAAAAGCGAGGCGCATTTTAAAGGTTTCATCGTCATCCTGATCATGATCATCATCATCATCACCATCATCATCATTATCGTCATCATCGTCATCATTATCAACGACAACACACATCAACGACAGCAACGTCAACAGACTTGATAAGAAAGCTTTGGCTGTTAGAAGAAGAGTATAAATACGTGAGTTTACCCGCGGGTGTCATAAGAGCTGACTCAGTGACTGTGCATTAAACAGACGCCGAGCAGCAGCGGCAAAGGAAACCTCTTGGGCAGAGTAGAGCTAAAGCCAAGTCAGGCAATGGACTGTTACAATCCAATCTCATGATCTATTGTAAGAGTAGTATGCCGTTATGGCTACTAGCCCTCTGCCCAGGAAGTTCAAGTGCCCATCTTTGGCCGGGGAAGGAATCTGTAACAATAAATTCATTTATTTAAGTACCTAATACTAACCGAAAAGCAAATCAGCAGACAAGTTTTTCAAAATATAAAAGCAATATGAGAAAGTGTCAAAACACAATATAAGCAAGATGTGGTGCGATCATACCTGGTCGTGCCGAGAGTTCCTGGGAATATAAAGCTCCACATTGGGTGAAACCGTACGCGCCACTCCCATTAGCTCCGAGGCCGGCGTTGGCTCGAGCATTGTTTCAATTTCGAAGTTTTTATGCTGTGGACAAAACATCACATTAATTATGCAAAATAAAACACACGCTGCACATGCTCATGGAAAAATCTCTGGATCAAAATTAATACTTGACATCAGTCGTATTGAGCTTCTCAACTATCCAGGTCAATACATACATTTTAGATTAAGAATCATTATTGATTAGACCACTGTTAGAAACTGTATCTAATAAAATGTGTCGTTGCCTATCTGAACAATAATACAACTCACATTTGTGAATATGGCGCGACTGCATTGATTTCTCAAGTAGCGGGTAGCTACAATGTGTCACACTGGGTACCTACATACAATATGAAAACATTACCAAACGTGGCATAGAAAATAATTCGAGTTATGTATCGTAAATTTGTATAAAATATGTGTAAGCTTTAAAGTAGACCTATAACTAAACTTGTTTCTAATCTTGGGTGTCACTTGGTAGTGGCTAAAACTAAGTATTGATCGGATAACTAATGTTTTCTTGCTTTAGCTGGGCTTCAGCTCAAATATTAAACTTTTTACTAACCTCGGAATACTACCTCGGATTGCTTCTAAGCAAGGAGTTATTTCCGGCAGGATGAGGAAGACCATATCAGCTTTGACAGTTGGTGCAAACTCAATGTAATCGTGGACATCCAACACGAATGTCGATCGCAACTTTTGCATCGTGTTTCGCCGTAACTGAATATTGTCCTTCTGTCCACATTTACGACGACCACTGTCGTTACACTATTAGACATTAGATAATCAACGCAAACACAAGTGATAATAAACAGAAAATAATAATTTAACTTCTGTTAGGAAGATACATGATCTTACTTCGATGGATAGAAGTTATCATATCGTAGGGCGCTTGTAAAAAAACGCAGCAAAATATCAGCTTGCGCGGGTAGAAACTTGTAACAGTATCCAGGGCCGGAATCAAAATTTTGCAATTAGACACACTACAAAATACTTCTATAAAACAACTAGATGTGAACGGCATTCCTTATCTGACTACTCCGAGAAGAAATTCGAAGAAGAAGGACCTTGATTATAACTATTGATTCTGTACTGGACTTTGAGGAAGTTATACCACAACAGGTTGAATGAGCTTTAATATAGATTAATTTCACATTAAATGCTTTAGTTTTTGGTAACAAATAGAAGCCAGCAGTCTAGACAATGACACGGTAAATTATCACAATTAGTATTACCGTCTCGATGATAAAGATAACTGTTTGACTTACTCTGTTCTACAAGGAACGCTACAAGGAATTTGAGGTTTAAGGGATTTTGGGATTGGAAATTTGGGAAAGAAAATTGGAGGGGGAAAAGAGCTAGTCTTCTGTGAGGCCGTGGTATATCATTGATCGATGCAATTGAGAAATAAAGTTTAAGTTACAGTAGAATTTTATTTAGTGTTATTACTTTACTTGCGTTGTTCTCTCTGATATCTGGTTTTGTTCTACGTAATTGTTGGTCGACATCGACCCATAAAATTAGCTTGAACACAAACCCAAAATGTACGACTTTCTTGGCAAGATATAATTCGCTGAACAGAACAAAACAAACTGAACGCCAAAGATTATAGTGTTCTCCATAAGATACAGTTCGCAGTCGGCGTTTTTTTTAAGTTGGTACCGCAGCTAAAGGCGGATATGGTCTTTCTCAGGCAGGCCTTCGCGCGTCATGGGAAGGTCCATCGTATTCTAAAGTAGGTAACTACGTTATGGCCTTGAAGCCGATTCCCAGATCATGAATTATTAGCTGACCTGTAACAGTCCACAACTGGTCTTAGCTTTAGCTCTACTGCCCAACAACATGGCGGTGAAAATATTTCTGCGTGTAGTATGTGTAAATGCAAAGATTTGATTGCAGCCCTGGATACGGTTACAAGTTTCTACCCGCGCAAGTTGATATTTTGCCGCGACTTTTTACAAGCACCCTACGACATGTTAACAAAAGAGATGTGGAAATCCTCCACCGTTCTGATAACTCGGTCGGTGTGACATGTTTATTTTGTAAAATAAGTTGTATTAATTGTTTTGTTTTCCACTAGTTGAATTTTATCCAATGTCTGGTTGTGTTCAACAGTAATTGCGGCCGACATCGACCAAAAGAAGATATACATAAAATCCAAATTATTGTCGGCGATTCTAGTCATGATCCTTATGTTGTAGCTGTGTTTCGTCCACGACGTTTAGAATATGATATTAAGAACATTGGAGTCAAGGTGAGTAAAATATAAGGGTGAATATCTAGCGGCTACTAACCCACAGCTGCGTGATGAAAATATTCTCCGTGTTAATTCACACGCAAATTTTAATTGATCGATGTAGACATTTGTATGTCATTGTTGGGTTGTGCTGCACGTGGCGCCATTTTGTAAGTTCTATCCGTCGAAGTAAGATCATGTATCCACTTAACAGTAGTTAAATTGTTATTTTCTGTTATTTCTTATGTTTGTGTTGTTATGTTCTACAGTGATCGTCGTACACGTGGACAGAAGGACAATACTCAGTTACGGCGAAACACGATGCGAAAGTTTCCATCGACATTCGTGTTCGCTGTCCGCGCTGTTACATTGAGTTGGCAGCAACTGTCAAAGCTGATATGGTCTTCCTCATCCTGCTAAGAAGAGGAGGAAGAGGTACTTGCCTTCCGTATTTCGAGGTTTGTTAAAAGCTTAATATGTAAGGGACCAAACAAAAGTTAGATAAAATTAATTATCCTACAAATCACAGTTTCGTGCAGTAGTTTTAAACTTTGACAAGCTAAATTTAGTTATTGCATTTAGTTGTACCTATGTGTATTATGTACCTATGTAGTATGAGTCCATTTTAAAAGTTATTTTGTCGAGGATACATAAATTACGATTTTGATTTATCCGGTTTAGTAATAGGTACCTATTTTGATTTAGCAATTTTATTACAATTTTCTTGTATATAAAACACTTTGTAGCTACCCGCTACTTAAGAAAACAAAGGAGTCCCGGAGCATTCATAAATGTGAGAAATATTGTTTATATGTGCATATATTGTATAGGTGGTGCAGTAGGTAAATAGAAACATTCATTACAGTTTGTTACTGTATCTACTGAAAAGCTTCCAAAATTTTGTCTGATTGAAATTATTCTTAATAACTTTAATTTTTTAGGTTATGTTCAAGTGATCGCGAGTGAATAAAGACTATATATATATATATATATATATATATATATATATATATATATATACATATATACAAAACATAATCATAACATATAGATACAGTACCTACTTAAGACACTTAATAGGTAATCGAATTCATAGTCGGCGATTTCTTTGAGTTGGCACCGCAGCTGGAGGCGGACATGGTCTTCCTCAGTCCTAGTAGGGAGATCATGTCCATCGACACTTTTAATGAAGGAATTTACATTACCTAGATTTTTTTGTTATGGGAATATCATCAAATGACTTCTCTGTGGTGTGTATGACCCGGAACAACAATTTGGAGTTAACACAAAGAGTAATTGCGTGCGGGGATAGAACCCGCGATACGTCGCACGACAGTCGGTAGCCCAACAACCACGTTAACGGTACAGTCGTAAGTGGTATATTTATGAAATAAATTTCATTGTTACAGATCTTGTCCTGGCCACCTCCAATGTTTGATGATTTGTGGGGATCGAGGAAAGCTACCAGAGGCCAGAGGCTTTCTGCGGAGTCGGCGACAGCACTACACTACAGTATGTCCGCGAGAACTAGCAACAAAAGTGACTTTATTGTAGAACCTTCTTACTGCCGTTTTCCTGATCTTTGCTCTGACATAACCTTCTTGTCCTAAGGGTTATCTACTTATTGTAATGTAATGTAGATATGACTAGCGGTTTACAGATACAAACTTATATACTAGTTACCATTTAGAATCTAGATATAATATCACAGACAGAGGAATTGCTCACATTTATTATAATTAAGAATGAAAACACCATGTAAACGCTCTTAATGTGTCGGAATATGTATGTAAACATATACATAATACTTATACTAATGTAAAAGTCACAACACTAGTATAACCACAGACCTGAAAATTATTTAGATTCTGTGAGTATAATACATACTTACCTTTGTCCAAACTGACTCATAATGTTTTTAGAAAAAATACCCCGTAATGGGTACATAATGTCTATCGAGGAAGTTCTGCTCTATTTCAACGAAACCACCGACTTCTTTCTTCTTTCGCAAGAGATACTATTTCCGGTTTGAGTCGTTGTTTGTGTTTAAAAGGGGTCACTTAAGGTCTTTCAAGATGAAAGATAACATTCGAGAGAAAACCAAATTGCATCTTTTATTAAATTGATTAAATGTATTAACGAATATTTACAAGGCACAGTTTACATAAACTATTTACAATCCACACATTTTTTTAATGATAACAAAGGAAACCTCTTGGGCAGAGTAGAGCTAAAGCCAAGGGCGGCAATGGACTGTTACAATCCAATCTCATGATCGATTGTAACAGTAGTATGCCGTTATGGCTACCAGCCCTCTGCCCAGGAAGTTCTCCTCGATCTCCACGGTTCCGCCATCACTAGCCAGTGAAGGAATCTGTAACAATACATTCATTTATTTAAGTACTTAATACTAACCGTTAAAAGAAGAGTACCTATATATACGTGAGTCTACCAGCGGGTGTCATAAAAGCTAACTCAGGCTTATTATCCACCGAGATATTATCTGTAACAAAGAAATTTATTTAACAATAACCAAAGGAGTATACTGATGGAGACCTATGTTCAGCAGTGAACATATTATGGCTGATTATACAAAATCAGAATATGGTGCGACTTCTTACCTGGTCGGGCCGAGAGTTCCGAGGAATATACAGCTCCACGTTGGGTGATATTGTTCGCGCCACCTGCATCAACTCCGAGGCTGGCCTTGGCTCGAGCATTGTTTCGATGTCGTATTCGTTATGCTGTGGACAAAAGACAACATTATAATAAAATTATGCCAATAGTTCACAATGTAAAAGATTGATACAAGCCCTGCGAAGGAGACATACATAGGTCTAAATCAATGACTAGCCGTAATTTATAGCGACTAGCAACTAGGTTTGTCGTAGTCGTGTAGGCGGCGTAACTCGTAGTCATCCGCTACGACTTTACGCCTGCTGTAGACCCTTATTTTAGCAACAGCGGAGGCTACAAGCAGTCGACTGTATTAAAAGTTCAAGGTGTTTTTCCCCAAAAGCTAGGCGCCTTTTTAAGGTTTCGCAAACAAACTTTACTGTTTTGGAACTACGTAACCGAAAAATTGTTTGTTTTTAATGTAAAAAGGAACCGCCTTCAAAAAACCAATTGAAAAGAAAAATATTATGTATACACTGTATTTCAATGTTGCATAAGGAAAAACATGTGAATCAACAAATAAAAATATTAATAAATAATAAATGGTTATATATGAGTTTTATTTTTACCTTTTAAAGTGTAATTAAAGCTAATAAGCCTAGTATAATACGTAGTGTACTAATGTCATAATTGTTGTGAAATATATAAATATTTCATAAAATATTTTTGTATTTATGTCAAATATACTATAATTTTTCCAATATTTTAACCGTATTTCATAAATTAAATATTCTTGTTCGAATGAAATCTTATAAAATAAGAAACATTTTATCTATAAAACTCTTAAATCTCAAAATGACTATTTTTTTACCTATGTCTCGGCTATTAAATACTAAAATTAATATGTATATTTTTTTTGAAAGACTGTTAATGTAATTAGATAAAATAACAAGAATAATGTTGATAAGACCAATATTTTTCAAAATATTAAACACCAAATCTTAAAAATCCTCTCCTGTAAAATTTGTAAATGTTAAGTTAATACAGTTTTAATGCGAGAAGACGACATGTTTTTATAAACATTATATATATGTATGGTGAAATGTTTGTCAACAAATTTCTTAATACAGAGATTACAAAATTGGTACCTCAAATAGCTATTCGCATGTTCATTGTGACACTTTACTCAGCACAACTATGTTCGCCATCTATTCAATACGCTAGTTTACAACTAGTCAAATTCAATACTTTTATCTGAATGCCAAAAACAATACTTTTATATGAAACTAGCTACTCTGGCGCGGTTTCACCCGCTGCTAGGCTCTATTTAATCCTTGGTAAAAGCGGTTCTAAAGTAATCTTTGGAACCTCTGGTTTGTATGTAGGCGGATTACCTCCTACAACTTACAAATTTTACCTATTTATAATAAGTATAGAAGAGTATAGATATAGATAATTATAGATAGATATAGATTTGTAAGAAACTACAAATTATGACGTCATAGTATTTAACGTCAAATAGCCTATTTATTTCTTAAAAATTTGCTAAAAAGTATGAAGCATTTAGTACATCGACAGATCGATGAATAAAAGTATAGCGAAAGACAAATGTATGAAAAGGCTATCGGAACATCCGGCTTGAAACATTTTCTTCATTTATAGTTGGTAGGTTAAAAGAACCACAATATGATGAAGATATCGTCAGATTCTTATTGACGGAAAATAACACCGGTGTCCAGTGTTGTGAACAAGAAGTACCTAATGGGATCGCAGCAGCTCCATCTGAAATGGTCTATTGGCTCGTGACCCGCCACGCGCTTTATGCTCAGGCTCTAGTTTGGCAAACATTTTTTTGTGAGTGGAAAATCATCAATTGCCTTCTCTCGCCCAGGATGGTCCGGGAAGGAGTGTCAGACTCTTACTGCGCAACACCGGCTGAAGGTAATGAAATAAAAAAAATACAAAAATGGAAAGAAAGAATCAAAATTAGCTTATGTTACCTACATAAGGTATTTTTTTTATTTTAAGAAGCAAATTGATGAAAATATGTAGTCGGTCCGCAATTGAGTAGCCAGTGGCTCTGCCACATTGAGGAATTACGAGAGTGTTACCAGCCTTTTGAAATCAGTGTTATGAGAATTGGCGATTTTTTTGGTTTACGTACGGAAGGGGAGGAAGATTGATACTCATAGCGAAACATAACGCACAGAACGTGGCTCACGCCAGCGAGGTTCTTATCTAAAAGGTAGTGTCCTCCTATATCATTGTCAGTGATGATCTAATTGTTGTTTTAATTCCTAGTACCATTCGTTTCCGGTTTGAGTCGTTGTTTGTGTTTAAAAGGGGTCACTTAAGGTCTTTCAAGATGAAAGATAACATTCGAGATAAAATCAAATGACATCTTTTATTATATTGATTAAATTTATTAACGAATATTTACAAGGCACAGTTTACATAAACTATTTACAATCTACACAAATTTTAAATGATAACATATCACAAAATATTGCACACTTACAAAAAAAGTTTTTTAGCTGTTCTGATCAAAAAATCAAATCAAATCTGTTAGAAGTTGAGTATACATACGTGAGTCTACCCGCGGGTGACTCACTGACTGTGCATTAAACAGACGCCTCTGGACCAGAACTTTTCAAACAGCGATCTCCAACCCGCCCGCCATCGTGAACATTCTGACACAGGAAACCTCTGGAGCAGAGTACAGCTAAAGCCAAGGCCGGCAATGGACTGTTACAATCCAATCTCATGATCGATTGTAACAGTAGTATGCCGTTATGGCTACTAGCCCTCTGCCCAGGAAGTTCTCCTCGATCTCCACGGTTCCGCCATCGTTAGCCAGAGAAAGAATCTGTAACAAAAAAATCATTTTTTAAGTACTTAATACTAACCGAAAAGCAAATCAGCAGTCACAAGTTTTTATCGAAATATAAAAGCAACATGAGAAAGTGTCAAAACAAATGTAGTGCGATCGATCGATCAAGAGAATTATTATCTGTAACAGAGAAATTTATTTAACAATAACGAAAACAGTAGGTATACTGGGGGAGACCTATGTTCAGCAGTGAACATATTATGGCTGATTATACAAAATCAGAATATGGTGCGACTTCTTACCTGGTGGGGCCGAGAGTTCCGAGGAATATACAGCTCCACGTTGGGTGATATTTTTCGCGCCACCTGCATCAACTCCGAGGCTGGCCTTGGTTCGAGCATTGTTTCAATGTCGAATTGGGTGTGCTGTGTACAAAACATTGAATTAATAAAATTATGCAAATAGTTCACAAGGTAAAAGCCCTACGAATGAGATCTAAATCCAAAATTGCGGAATAAAAATAAAATCAAAGTCCAGGTCGATACACATGTTAGATTAAAGTTCTGTTATTGATTTCGATTGTTAGGTGGGTGTTGAAACTGGAGACAATTAAAGCTTGAGGACAAAACCCTTTAATGGTTGTGTTCTGCCAGTATGGTACAACAAAATCTTATCGTTTACAAACAATATGACAAGGGGCATGTGATCTCCTAATGGTACTTTAAAGTTACTCACTTTGGAATACGATGGACCTCCCCACGGCGGACTGAGGAAGACCATGTCGGCCTTCAGTTGCGATGCCAACTCGAAGAAGTCGCCGACAATGAACTGGATTTTATCCAGAACTCCATAAATTTTGGCGTTCTGTTTGGCCATTTCAATTTTCCTTGGGTCGATGTCGACCGCGATTACTGTTGAACAAAACCAGACATTAGAGAGAACAACGCAAGAAATAACACGAAATAACATTCAACTACTGGTTTCTAGTGGGAAACAGTAGGCATCGAAGAAAAGTGTCACCTTTGTTGGACGTTCGTGCGAACTGTATAGTGTTGCCGCCGGCACCGCAGAACGCGTCCAAGACAACATCATAGCGGAACTTGTTCGCTATGTGGCTCGCCACGTTCTCCGGGGTCACGCTGAACCAGCTCTCGCGGTCCAACTTGATGCCTTCGTCGAACCTGTTGCCCAGGAAACAGAACTTTGTAAAGTACACTTCTGCATCAAGAAAACGTCTCATTTGAGAAATCAAGTTGCTATTCTAATTAGACGAGCGAAGAAAGTAAGTACAGATATCACAGAATAAAAAAACCTACCTGTGGAAGAGGATGTGCCTCTTGCGCCAGTATTTGTGGAGTACGGGGTCCTCCTCCACTTCGGGCGGCATACGCTCCTCCGTTTTGATTCTCCAATTCTGAAGACTACTATATTTTCTATAACAAGGCATATTACTTGTATTATATTCCTATTAGGTACTTGTTGTCGCAAACAGCAATGGCAACTGATGACTGAGCGCCTATGTGCCTGCGCATTACCAGTACACGAAGGGTGCGTGGGGGTGGGGGTGTAATTAGCGCAGGTAGCAACCAATTGCCCAATGACCAATCAGAGGAAGAAAGAAACACATTCTTAACTAATGATCATATTTCATTAATTATTCTGTTTTTGATTTTGATTTACAAGAATCAGGTAGGTATGTAGGTACAGAATACATGGAGAATACGATAATGACGCGGTGTTGTCAGCTGGGGCTGAGCACCGCCGTGTCCTCAGGGCAGATATAATGAAGGAGACCTCGTGCGACCGGCCGTAGTCGAGGCCATGGGAGCAAAAAGTGAGAAGCCGTCTCTTCTTTCTGCGATACAGTCATGTTCGCGAAGAAGTAGGCGGAGCGCGTTGAGGGAACTATCCTCGAGAACGGGTCTACCGTGTAAAAAAGTAATGACTTACATCAGTCAAAAAAGGATTTTCTTAATTAACGTAAAGTTTTTTATCCTGCATGTTCTGCACATTAGTCCATATTTATCGACGACTTTCTCAATCGCCATTCAATTAACATCATACCCAATGCCAAAATTACCTCTTTTGACAAATTCTAATGACTTAATGACTGAATGACTGAAGGCCAATTTTACTTATCGCTTATCGTATGTAAGTGAGAATAATTAACATACGTGTACTCATTAATTAGCACAGTAATACGACACGTATAGTGTAATTCTGTATCAATAGGACTAAGTTTCATTTTCAAAAAATAAAAGCAGAATTCTGTTCATCGCGGTAAATAGTTTTAAGCTCTTCGGAGTAGGACAATATAACACCACGTGTCTATAAACAATAGCTGGGGGCGCAACTTTGTCAGCGTAGACCTCGTTAGTTGAGTATGGGGAAAACAATCGAGTTATCTATAAACAATATTTGTCGTAGTTTTGTTTTGTGTCAGTATTAATTATCTACTTAGATCTTCCCAGAAATCCCAGAGCGGTGGAACAATATGCATTATTTGTAGTTACAATACAAAAAGCGATCCGACCTATTGAAAGGGTTGAGCATTTGTCCAAATAATAAACAAAGGTGTAATCAGTTTTGCTAATATTACGTACTAAGTAATGCTTGCAACATATTTACTGCTGTAGATAATGATAACAAAGAACGGATTACAAGTAACAAGAAAAAACGTTTTTTGAATAGGTGTCTAAATGAGCCGACTGATTGTAAAAACAGCGCTGCCACATCGAGGAGTTACAAAAGCGTCAGGATTGGAATGCAAGGGGAGGAAGGTTGGTCCTCTAGAAACCTTGGCTCCGCAGCGAAACTTAACGCAAACAACGTGGCTCACGTAGTATGATACTTAACTAGAAGGCAGTGTCCTCCTATACTTAGTGCTAACAGAACGTGGCTACGCAATATTCGCGCTAATAAACGATCAAACTCTTAGCTTGTCATTTTCTCACAAACGCATCTAGCTTGTGAGACCTGCAGCTCGGATCTGGAATTGAGTCTATCTCCATCCTATATACTTCAATGAATTGCGGTAATTTATAGAGAACTAGGCTTATTGTAGCCGCGTAGGTGGTGTGAGTAACTCGTAGTCATTCGCTACGACTTTACGCCTGCTGTAGCCCCTTATATTAGCTACAGCGGAGGCTACAAACAATCAACTGTATTAAAAGTTCTAGGTCTTGTTCCCCCAAAGTTTTTGGTGCCCCAAAAGCTAGGCGCATTTTAAAGGTTTCATCGTCATCCTGATCATGATCATCATCATCATCATCATCACCATCATCATCATTATCGTCATCATCGTCATCATTATCAACGACAACACACATCAACGACAGCAACGTCAACAGACTTGATAAGAAAGCTTTGGCTGTTAGAAGAAGAGTATAAATACGTGAGTCTACCCGCGGGTGTCATAAGAGCTGACTCAGTGACTGTGCATTAAACAGACGCCGAGCAGCAGCGGCAAAGGAAACCTCTTGGGCAGAGTAGAGCTAAAGCCAAGTCAGGCAATGGACTGTTACAATCCAATCTCATGATCGATTGTAAGAGTAGTATGCCGTTATGGCTACTAGCCCTCTGCCCAGGAAGTTCAAGTGCCCATCTTTGGCCAGGGAAAGAATCTGTAACAATAAATTCATTTATTTAAGTACCTAATACTAACCGAAAAGCAAATCAGCAGACAAAAGTTTTTCAAAATATAAAAGCAATATGAGAAAGTGTCAAAACACAATATAAGCAAGATGTGGTGCGATCATACCTGGTCGTGCCGAGAGTTCCTGGGAATATAAAGCTCCACATTGGGTGAAACCGTACGCGCCACTCCCATTAGCTCCGAGGCCGGCGTTGGCTCGAGCATTGTTTCAATTTCGAAGTTTTTATGCTGTGGACAAAACATCACATTAATTAAGCAAAATAAAACACACGCTGCACATGCTCATGGAAAAATCTCTGGATCAAAATTAATACTTGACATCAGTCGTATTGAGCTTCTCAACTATCCAGGTCAATACATACATTTTAGATTAAGAATCATTATTGATTAGACCACTGTTAGAAACTGTATCTAATAAAATGTGTCGTTGTCTATCTGAACAATAATACAACTCACATTTGTGAATATGGCGCGACTCCATTGATTTCTCAAGTAGCGGGTTAGCTAAAATGTGTTATAAATACTGGGTACCTACATACAAAATAAAAACATTACCAAACGGGGCAAAGAAAATAATACGAATTATGTATCGTATATTTGTATAAAATATGTGTAAGCTTTAAAGTAGAGCTATAACTAAACTTGTTTCTAATCTTGGGTGTCACTTGGCAGTGGCTAAAACTAAGTATTGGTCGGATACTTAATGTTATCTTGCTTTAGCTGGGCTTCAGCTCAAATATTAAACTTTTTACTAACCTCGGGATACTACCTCGGATTGCTTCTAAGCAAGGAGTTGTTCCTGGCAGGATGAGGAAGATCATATCAGCTTTGACAGTTGGTGCAAACTCAATGTAATCGTGGACATCCAACACGAATGTCGATCGCAACTTTTGCATCGTGTATCGCCGTAACTGAATATTGTCCTTCTGTCCACGTCTACGGTGATCATTCTAGAACACTATCACACATTAGGTAATCAACACAAACACAAGTAATAATTAACAAAAAATAATAATTGAATTTCTGTTAGGAAGATACATGATCTTACTCCGATGGATAGAATTTAGCATATCGTAGGGTGCTTGTAAAAAAACGCGGCAAAATATCAGCTTGCGCGGGTAGAAACTTCTAACAGTATCCAGAGCCGGAATCAAAACTTTGCAATTACACAAACTACACAATACTTCTATAAAACAACTAGATGAGAACAGCATTCCTTATCTGACTACTCCGAGAAGAAATTTGAAGAAGAAGGACCTTGATTATAACTATTGATTCTGTACTGGACTTTGAGGAAATTATACCACAACAGGTTGAATGCGTTTTAATATAGATTAATTTCACATTAAATGCTTTAGTTTTTGGTAACAAATAGAAGTATCAATGTGCTTATAATGCTCACAAAACGCGCGGAGTTCGCTCCTGCCCAGGCCAGCAGTCTAGACAATGACACGGTAAATTATCACAATTAGTATTACCGTCACGATGATAAAGATAACTGTTTGACTTATTCTGTTCTGCAAGGAACGCTACAAGGAATTTGAGGTTTAGAGATTTGGGGATTAGGAATGAAAATTGGAAGGCGAAAGGAGCTTGTCTTCTGTGAGGCCGTGGTATATTATTGATCGATGCAATTGCGAAATAAAGTTTAAGTACTTAACAGTAGAATTTTATTTAGTGTTATTACTTTAGTTGCGTTGTTCTCTCTGATATCCAGGTTTTGTTCAACGTAAAGCAAATAAAATTTGCTTAAACACAACGCCAAAAGGTATGGCCTTCTTGACTAGATAGAATTCGCTGAACAGAATAAAACAAACTGAACGCGAAAGTTTATGATGTTCTCCATAAGTTCTGGATAACATCATTTTCATAATTGCGATTTTTCTAATCGCTTATGACCTTGATGTTGGCACCGCAGCTGAGGGCGGATATGGTCTCTCTCAGTCAGCCGCGCGCCGTGGGAAGGTCCATCGTATTCTAAAGTAACTACGTTATGGCCTTGAGGCCGATTCCCAGATCATGAACCATTGGCTGACCTGTAACAGTCTACAAGTGGTCTTAGCTTTAGCTCTACTGCCCAACAACATGGCGGTGAAAATATTTCTGCGTGTAGTATGTGTAAATGCAAAGTTTTGATTCTGTGACAAGTTTCTTTCTACCCGTGCAAGCTGATATTTTGCCGCGACTTTTTACAATCACCCTACGATGTGTTAACAAAAGAGATGTGGAAATCCTCCACCGTAATGATAACTCGGTCGGTGTGACATGTTTATTTTGTGAAATAAGTTGTGTTCATTGTATTGTTTTCCACTAGTTGAATTTTATCCAATGCCTGGTTGTGTTAAACAGTAATTGCGGCCGACATCGACCAAAAGAAGATATACATAAAATCCAAATTATTGTCGGCGATTCTAGTCATGATCCTTATGTTGTAGCTGTGTATCGTCCACGACGTTTAGAATATGATATTAAGAACATTGGAGTCAAGGTGAGTAAAATATAAGGGTGAGCTCGTATCTAGCGGCTACTAACCCACAGCTGCGTGATGAAAATATTCTCCGTGTTAATTCACACGCAAACTTTAAACGCGCGATGTAGACATTTGTATGTCATTGTTGGGTTGTGCTGCACGTGGCGCCATTTTGTAAGTTCTATCCGTCGAAGTAAGATCATGTATCCACTTAACAGTAGTTAAATTGTTATTTTCTGTTATTTCTTATGTTTTTGTTGTTATCTTGTTTAATAGTGTTCTACAGTGATCGTCGTAGACGTGGACAGAAGGACAATATTCAGTTACGGCGAAACACGACGCAAAAGTTGCCATCGACATTCGTGTTCGCTGTCCGCGGTTACATTGAGTTGGCACCAACTGTCAAAGCTGATATGGTCTTCCTCATCCTGCTAAGAAGAGGAGAAAGAGGCACTTGCCTTCCGTATTTCGAGGTTTGTTAAAAGCTTATTATGTAAGGAACCAAACAAAAGTTAGATAAAATTAATTATCCTACAAATCACAGTTTCGTGCAGTAGTTGTAAACTTTGACAAGCATAATTTAGTTAGCGCATGTACCTAGTTGAACCTATGTATATTATGTATGTAGTAAGGGTCCATTTTAAACGTAATTTTGTCGAAGATACATAAATTATGTTTTTTTATTTATCCGGTTTAGTAATAGATACCTATTTTGATTTAGCAATTTTATTTCAATTTTTGTCGGGTATCCACTTACCCAGCATATACCACTTTGTAGCTACCCGCTACTTAAGAAAACAAAGCAGTACCGGAGCATTCATAAATGTGAGAAATATTGTTTAGATGTGCTTATGTTGTATAGGTGGTGCAGTAGTTAAAAAGATTCCCAGATCGTGTCAATTTACGGAATAATTTCATTGTTACAGATATTTTCCTGGCCACCACCAATGTTTGAGGATTTGTGGAGATCGAGGGAAGCTACCAGAGGTCAGAGGCTTTCTGCGGATTCGGCGACAGCACTACACTACAGTATGTCCGCGAGAACTAGCAACAAAAGTGACTTTATTGTAGAACCTTCTTACTGCCGTTTTCCTGATCTTTGCTCTGTCATAACCTTCTTGTCCTAAGGGTTATCTACTTATTGTAATGTACATTACATTAGATATGACTAGCGGTTTACAGATACAAACTTATATACCAGTTACCATTTAGAATCTAGATATAATATCACAGACAGAGGAATTGTTTCATTTATTATAATGAAGAATGAAAATACCATGTAAAACATTCGAGATATAACCAAATTACATCTTTTATTATATTGATTAAATTAATTAACGAATATTTACAAGGCACAGTTTACATGAACTATTTACAATCCACACAAATTTTTAATGACAACATATCACAAAATATTGCCTTCTTAGAGTATATATACGTGAGTCTACCCGCGGGTGTCATAAGAGCTGACTCAGTGACTGTGCATTAAACAGACGCCGAGCAGCAGCGGCAAAGGAAACCTCTTGGGCAGAGTAGAGCTAAAGCCAAGGCCGGCAATGGACTGTTACAATCCAATCTCATGATCGTTTGTAAGAGTAGTATGCCGTTATGGCTACTAGCCCTCTGCCCAGGAAGTTCCCCTCGACCTCCACGGTTCCGCCATCACTAGCCAGTGAAGGAATCTGTAACAATAAATTCATTTATTTAAGTACTTAATACTAACCGTTAAAAGAAGAGTATATATACGTGAGTCTACCAGCGGGTGTCATAAAAGCTAACTCAGGCTTAATATCCACAGAGATATTATCTGTAACAAAGAAATTAATTTAACAATAACCAAAAGAGTATACTGATGGAGACCTATGTTCAGCAGTGAACATATTATGGCTGATTATACAAAATCAGAATATGGTGCGACTTCTTACCTGGTCGGGCCGAGAGTTCCGAGGAATATAAAGCTCCACGTTGGGTGATATTCTTCGCGCCACCTGCATCAACTCCGAGGCTGGCCTTGGTTCGAGCATTGTTTCAATGTCGAATTCGTTATGTTGTGGACAAAAGACAACATTAATAAAATTATGCCAATAGTTCACAATGTAAAAGATTGATACAAGCCCTGCGAAGGAGACATACTTAGATCTAAATCAATGAGTAGCGGTAATTTATAGCGACTAGCAACTAGGCTTGTCGTAGCCGCGTAGGCGGCGTAACTCGTAGTCATCCGCTACGACTTTACGCCTGCTGTAGACCCTTATTTTAGCTACAGCGGAGGCTACAAGCAGTCAACTGTATTTAAAGTTCAAAGTGTTTTTCCCCAAAAGCTAGGCGCCTTATGAAGGTTTCGCAAACAAACTTTACTGTTTTGTGTAACAGTCATTAATTTTTTCACTTACCATATTAATAATTATTAATATTATTCACTTCAAACATTAATCTATTGAATAGTAATATCCCTTAAAACCCGAAGATATCTAATTATCCTAATTTTGAATCGATTCATAAATCGATTCAGTTTTCGAACGTTGCAACACTGTCCCGGTCCGCCATCCAGATTAGAATTTGGAGATTTTTGAGAGGTCCGTCAATTGTATTTCTGTAGTATAATTAAATATAATACTTAGTAAAAGTTCGTGTTTTATCTCAAGAACCCCATCCTTCTGAGCGTTTTCACAGCTCAGAAGTGGGATAACAGCAAAAATATATATTTTTGCTACGCCCACAAGTCAACGTCTAAGGTATGTACATGATTTTTTCCCCTCGATATCTACGTGTAATGACTATGTCTTATAATTCAAAAGGGTATAATTAGCTGAGGTGAATAATAACGAATACAATTGCAAAATAGATCAATTACAATATTAGTTTAAAATTAGATAAATAACGCGTCGTTAGACACGATGCGACAACTAGGAAAATGGTGTATCCTTGTCTACGAAGATATTTATTTAAATGTCATCACAATGAATACTGAATATCTCGAGCTGTTATTATTGTGTATTGTAACTTATGTGCTCTTATAAAAATTGAAAAAATCTCATCAAATACCTACTTTTAAATCTGCACCAATAAAAAGTCAAGCCGCAGAAGGCCAGCTGTCAAAGTAAATTTTTTTCTTAATCGAAACAAAGGCTTTTTAGCAAATGCAACATTTTTTTATATATATCGGAAATAAATTGAAATACTGTTACTAAATAGTTCTACGACTAGTTATTTTTCATTTCGATTATTAGAATTGAAAATAAAGGTCAAGATCTGAGATGCGATTGGATTGAATTAGTATCTCTGCATTTTTGCTATCAGTCTTAAAAAAAATATATACCCATAATTGATAGTAGAGCGCGTAGAAAAATACTTTACTACGCACAACAACAAGGAACTCAAGATCCTGGCGTGATGAACATCGATTTAAAGTAATTTAACCTTCGAAAACCTCTTGCCCCATTTAAATTAATTAAACCTCTGAAAGAAATACAAGAAATTCGTTTCGAGTTTCAGATAATGGAACGAGTTAGCCCTGATGAAAAACGGTGTCGAAGTCGTAGACTTCGAACACCTATGCCACCTTGGAGCCCCATACTACCAACAATGGGAGTCGAACGTGATGCGAAGAACAGCAGTGGCATGCGACGAAGCCGGAGTCGCGTGCGGCACGAATGTGGCAGTCAAGTTCGAAGCCGAAGCCGGAGCCTTCACCGCACCCAGAGTGCCCAACGCAGCCACCACAGTAACCGTGAGTTATCACATCAGAACCTGAATATGAACCGTAACTCACTCGAGAACAGACCCAGTCGTAGTCAGGAGATATGTGATGGATATCAGCAACGCAGTCACAGTCGCAGTAGACGTAGAAGCAGCCGTCGTAGCCGTAGTCATGCTCGCAGAGAAGTCAATCGACGTCGTCGCAGTGGTACTCGTAAACGGAATGATGAGAATAATGAGTTGCGTGAGAGGCTATTTCTGCTAGAGCAAGAGTTGAAGAGACAACGTAGCCGCAACGTATCGTACATATCACATGATATAGCTGATAGCCACCGACGGCAGTTTTCCCCGTCCAGAATGATTCGTAGCCCCCTTGGAAGTGACATTGAAAACCCAGTTTCCGAACGGCCAAGGGTTGTAGAGCCTGCTAAGTTCTTTGAAGAATTTGTCAAAATTTTTAAGGGCAGGGATCGTCAATCGTTTCCTGTATTGAATAATGTTCTTTCGGATTTTGACCCCCTTTCTCGAGAACAGTCCATAGAAATGTGGATAAGTAAAGTGGACGAATGCGCGGAAATCTATAATTGGAATGACCGTCAAACGGTTCACTATGCCCTGCTCAAGCTTGTAGGACATGCTAAGACCTGGTACCAGGGCTTACCAACTATTAGGCATTCGTGGAAAGAGTGGAAGGTTTTACTGAGAGAATCTTTCCCGTCTACCGAGAACTACGCTGAACTTCTAACCGAAATGCTTAATAGAAGGGCGCGCCCTGGTGACTCCTTAGAATTATACTATTTTTCCAAGATAAACTTATTAAATAGATGTAAAATATTTGGTAAGCAGGCAGTAGATTGCTTAATTTTTGGAATTGAAGACAAAGGCATTAGATTAAGTGCTCAAGCAGGGAAGTTTAACAAACCCGAGGAAACTTTAGAGTTTTTTAAGACAGTTAAGTCTCATCCTAGAGAGTACAGCGAGGGTATTAGGAGAGAAGGAACCAGTAAAGATAATAAGCGCTTTCAAAGTTTTACTGCAACCTCGACCAACTCTGAACCAACTAAAATCATGGACAAAACTTTTAGAAATCGACCGGAAGGGCATGCGGTTTGCTTCAACTGTAAGGAAGTTGGTCATATGAGCTATCAATGTCGTAAACCAATAACCAAATGCTCTGAATGTAATTTTTTAGGACACGACTCAAATATTTGTCCTAAGAGGTCCAATAACTCTAATAGTGGTAACGTACGTAACTCTAATAATTGTTGAGAGGATAAGACAGTATTCCCTATGTACCCGTAGGTAAAACTTTAGTTACAATTGAGCTCCAGGATATAAGAGAGGAACACGTAGAGGTTTTAATAGTTGATGACTCACTTATAAATATTCCAGTGATCCTCGGGCACAGTTTTACGGAACGACCTAATTTAAGAATAATAAAGATTGCCACTGATTTACGATTCGAAAAGGTCGATGTGAGTGGTGAAGTTAAACTTCTACTTGTTACAGTTGATGATTTTGAATTAGATATAGGAGGACTTAGAGCAGTTACAGTCGGAGCTAAAACAAATTATAGTGGTAGCATTTATGTTGGAGGTTCGATAAGAGGTAAACCCGACAGAGAATACTATTTATTGCCTGGTGAATACCAAATGACCAATGGAGTGTGCCGCGTACTAATACAGAGCTTAAGTTCTAAAAAAATTAATTTTTGTAAGGATGCGTTGGTTTCCCGGGCTAGGACGACCTTTTCTCAGGATCGACTTTTAGATGTGTTGCAGATAAATACGGAGTTGGTTAATGAAACTGATTATCTTAGTAAGAGAATTTAATTGAGTGAACCATTGAATACCGACTGTGAATATATACAAACGAAATACTGGCTATATGGAAACGTAAGATTCACACCCTGCACAGAGCTTCGGTTGGTTTATACCGAGCATGAGTGTATTAAGAAAAGTACAACTTACCTTAATTGAGAGCTTTGGCAGATTCGAGCCTAGCATGAGAATTATTTGATCTGTTCAGTGAGGGTGTTTCATACACATCACAGAGCTTGATTAGATGCGAGCTGGACATGAGTGATATGGCCTAGAGGGTCATAGCACAGAGTTCAAGCAGAGTCTAACCACGCATGAGTGATATGATATAACACGCAGTCACAAATTGATGGTGAAAGACGTGAAGTAACCTCTTTTTGTTGGCTATATCTAAGTATAACAGTAGTATCAAGTATATTTGTCTCGTTCAGTAAAAAAATATATTTGGAATTATTAAATAATTACAAAAGAAGATTTAAAATTAATTCTTGTTTTTAAAATAAATGTGACCTTAAACGAAGGGACTCGTTTATGTGACGGATGGCCGACTGTAACAGTCATTAATTTTATCACTTACCATATTAATAATTATTAATATTATTCACTTCAAACATTAATCTATTGAATAGTAATATCCCTTAAAACCCGAAGATATCTAATTATCCTAATTTTGAATCGATTCAGTTTTCGAACGTTGCAACACTGTCCCGGTCCGCCATCCAGATTTGAATTTGGAGATTTTTGAGAGGTCCGTCAATTGTATTTCTGTAGTATAATTAAATATAATACTTAGTAAAAGTTCGTGTTTTATCTCAAGAACCCCATCCTTCTGAGCGTTTTCACATTTGGAAGTACGTAACCGAATTTTTTTTTGTTTTTAATGTAAAAAGGAACAGCCTTCAAAAAACCAATTGAACAAAAAAATATTATGTATACACTGTATTTCAATGTTGCATAAGGAAAAACATGTGAATCAACAAATGAAAATATTAATAAATAATAAACGGTTATATATTAGTTTTATTTTTACCTTTTAAAGTGTAATTAAAGCTAATAAGCCTTGTATAATACGTAGTGTACTAATGTCATAATTCTTGTGAAAGATATAAATATTTCATAAAATATTTTTGTTTTTCTGTCAATATACTATATTTATCCATTATTTTAATCGTATTTCATAAATGAAATATTCTTGTTCGAATGAAATCTTATAAAATAAGAAACATTTTATCTATAAAACTCTTAAATCTCAAAATGACTATTTTTTTACCTATGTCTCGGCTATTTAATACTAAAATTAATATATAATATATATATTTTTTGAAAGACAGTTAATGTAATTACATAAAATAACAAGAATAATGTTGATAAGATTATTAGACAATTATTTTTGAAAATATTAAACACCAAATCTTAAAAATGCTCTCCTGTAAAATTTGTAAATGTTGAGTTAATACAGTTTTAATGCGAGAAGACGACATGTTTTTATAAACATTATATATATGTATGGTGAAATGTTTGTCAACATATTTCTTAATACAGAGATTAAAAAATTGGTACCTCAAACAGCTATTCGCATGTTCATTGTGACACTTTACTCGGCACAACTATGTTCGCCATCTAACGCTAGTTTACAACAAGTCAAATTCAATACTTTTATCTGAATGCCAAAAACAATACTTTTATATGAAACTAGCTACTGTGGCGCGGTTTCACTCGCTGCTTGGCTCTATTTAATCCTTGGTAAAAGCGGTTCTAAAGTAATCTTTGGAACCTCTGGTTTGTATGTAGGGGGATTACCCCCTACAACTTACAAATTTTACCTATTTATAATAAGTATAGAAGAGTATAGATATAGATAATTATAGATAGATATAGATTTGTAAGAAACTGCAAATTATGAAGTCATAGCATTAAACGTCAAATAGCCTATTTATATCTTTAAATTAGCTAAAAAGTATGAAACATTTAGTGCATCGACAGATCGATGAATAAAAGTATAGCGAAAGACAAATCTATGAAAAGTTATCGGAACATTCGGGTTGAAAACACTTCCTTCATTTATGCTGGTACCTAGGTTAAAAGAACCACAAGAAGATGAAGATATCGTCAGATTCTTAGTGACGGAAAATATAACACCGGTGAGCAACTCCATCTGAAATGGTCTATTGGCTCGTGGCCCGCCACGCGCTTTATGCTCAGGCTCTAGTTTGGCAAACATTTTTTTGTGAGTGGAAAATCATCAATTGCCTTCTCTCGCCCAGGATGGTTCGGGAAGGAGTGTCAGACTCTTACTGCGCAACACCGGCTGAAGGTAATGAAATAACAAAAAATACAAAAATGGAAAGAAAGAATCAAAATTACCTTATGTTACCTGCATAAGCAAAATTGATGAAAATATGTAGTCGGTCCGCAATTGAGTAGCCAGTGGCTCTGCCACATTGAGGAATTACGATAGTGTTACCAGCCTTTTGAAATCAGTGTTATGAGAATTGGCGATTTTTTTGGATTACGTATGGAAGGGGAGGAAGATTGATAAACTCACAGCAAAACATAACGCACAGAACGTGGCTCACGCCAGCGAGGTTCTTATCTAAAAGGTAGTGTCCTCCTATATCATTGCCATTGATAATTAAATTATGGTTTTATTACCTAGGTACCATTCGTTTTCGATTTGAGTCGTTGTTTGTAATTAAAAGGGGTCACTTAAGGGCTTTCAAGATGAAAGATAACATTCGAGATAAAATCAAATTACATCTTTTATTATATTGATTAAATTTATTAACGAATATTTACAAGGCACAGTTTACATGAGTTATTAACAATCCACACATATTTTTTATTATAACATATTACAAAATATTGCACACTTAGAATAAATGTTTTTTAGCTGTTACAAGAACAGTAAAAAAGAAAGAAAGAAAAAACATTTACCTATTTAGACTCGCACATGACAACAACAATAATAAAAAATAAATAAAAATAACTACTTAATCTATATCAAACTTACAATTACAACTTACAACAAAACAAAAACAGAAAACTAAAGTTAACACAACTGCTCTGTGCGAGGCCAAAAGGCTCCTATCTCAGCATATGCTGCGATATTCAACAAATTTTAAATAACGCAGCGCTGGTATTCTGATAGGGCCTGGTGATGCCACGGACACCAACGGAACACATAAATAAATGATACATGTCTACCCGCGGGTGTTACAAGAGCTGACTCGGTGTCTGTGCTGTGCACTAAACAGACGCCGAGCAGCAGCGCCCTCTGAACCAGAACTTTTCAAACAGCGATCTCCAACCCGCCCGCCATCGTGATCATTCTGACAGAGAAAACCTCTTGGGCAGAGTAGAGCTAAAGCCAAGGCCGGCAATGGACTGTTACAATCCAATCTCATGATCGATTGTAAGAGTAGTATGCCGTTATGGCTACTAGCCCTCTGCCCAGGAAGTTCTCCTCGATCTCCACCGTTCCGCCATCGTTAGCCAGAGAAAGAATCTGTAACAAAAAAAATCATTTTTTAAGTACTTAATACTAACCGAAAAGCAAATCAGCAGTCACAAGTTTTTCAAAATATAAAAGCAACATGAGAAAGTGTCAAAATACAATACTAAGCAAAATGTGGTGCGATCATACCTGGTCGTGCCGAGAGTTCCTAGGAATGTAAAGTTCCACATTGGGTGAAACCGTACGGGCCACTCTCATCAGCTCCGAGGCTGGCCTTGGCTCGAGCATTTTCTCGATGTCGAATTCTTTATGCTGTGGACAAAACATAACATTATAAGCAAAATAAAATACATGCTGCACATGCTCATGGCGGGGCAGTGAATAAGCGATCTCCGTCAAAAAGCCCTGGATCAAAACGAATGCTTGCCAGTAGTCGTATTGAGCTTGTCAAGTATCTAGGTCGATACATGCGTTTTAGATTAAGCCTCATTATTGATTAGATATTGAAGCTTGGAGACAGGAGAGATTGCGTTCTGCCTGTACGGATAAGGAAAGCGTAGACATTGCCAGTGGAACTAGTGAAGTCTATGGAAATGGGCTGAGGACAACGGACGAAAATTAATCCCAAATTCTTAGCAGGACTAAGATCAAAAATGAAATTATTTTATATAACAAAGATGACAATGGAAGTGTGATCTCGTAATAGTACTTACTTTGGAATACGATGGACCTCCCCACGGCGGACTGAGGAAGACCATGTCGGCCTTCAGTTGGGATGCTAACTCGAAGAAGTCGCCGACAATGAACTGGATTTTATCCAGAACTCCATAAATTTTGGCGTTCTGTTTGGCCATTTCAATTTTCATTGGGTCGATGTCGACCGCGATTACTGTTGAACAAAACCAGACATTAGAGAGAACAACCCAAGAAATAACACGAAATAACATTCAACTACTGGTTTCTAGTGGGAAACAGTAGGCATCGAAGAAAAGTGTCACCTTTGTTGGACGTTCGTGCGAACTGTATAGTGTTGCCGCCGGCACCGCAGAACGCGTCCAAGACAACATCATAGCGGAACTTGTTCGCTATGTGGCTCGCCACGTTCTCCGGGGTCACGCTGAACCAGCTCTCGCGGTCCAACTTGATGCCTTCGTCGAATCTGTTGCCCAGGAAACAGAACTATGTTAAGTACACGTCTGCATCAAGACAATGTCTCGTTTGAGAAATCAAGTTGATTTTCTAATTGGACGAGCGAAGAAAGTAAGTACAAATATCACAGAATTAAAAAACCTACCTGTGGAAGAGGATGTGCCTCTTGCGCCAGTATTTATGGAGTACGGGGTCCTCCTCCACTTCGGCAGGCATACGCTCCTCCGTTTTGATTCTCCAATTTTGAAGACTACTATATTTTCTATAACAAGGCATATTACTTGTATTATATACCTATTACTTGTTGTCGCAAACAGCAATGGCAACTGATGACTGAGCGCCTATGTGCCTGCGCATTACCAGTACACGAAGGGTGCATGGGGGTGGGGGTGTAATTAGCGCAGGTAGCAACCAATTACCCAATGGTCAATCAGAGGAAGAAAGAAACACATTCTTAACTAATGATCATATTTCATTAATTATTCTGTTTTTGATTATGATTTACAAGAATCGGGTAAGTATGTAGGTACATGTGAAGAACGTGACGCGGTGTTGTCTGCTGGGGCTGAGCACCGCCGTGTCCTCAGGGAAGTTATAATGAAGGCGACCTCGTGCGACGGCCGTAGGCGAGGCCATGGTGCGGAGCGAACACTGAGAAGCCGTCTCTTCTTTCTGCAAAACAATCATGTTCGCAAAGAAGTAAATTAACGCAAAGTTTTTCCCCTGCATGTCCTAAACATTAGTCCACATATTACCGAGGACTTTCACAATCGCCATCCAATTAATATCATACTTGAATGACATAATTAGATACCTCTTTTGAATAAATCTAATCACTTAATTACTGAAGTCAAATTTTACTAATCGCTAATCGTATGTAACTGGGAATATTTAACAAATGTGTACTCATTAATTAAACCGCTCTCATTAATTAGCACAGTAATGCGACACGTATAGTGTAATTCTGAATCAATGGGACTTTTTTGTTTTTTTGGGAGGGGAAAATCATCAAATGATTTCTCCCGCCCAGCGCCGGGCGGGAGGGAGTGTCAAACTCTTACTGACTAAAAACCCCCTGTTCCTTCTCCTGCTCCGGGCCGAGGTCGCGGTGCCTCATTGCGCTTACCCCGCAACCCCGGCTGAACATCAGCCCTATGGGGCCCCGTCTGTGGTGGTCTATTGGCTCTTTGAGGCGCGCGTGCGATCGTTCGATATCCACGGATCATCCGAATAGCCATGACCCTCTGGGACGCGACCAGCGTACGAGCTGGCCGCCGCCTCAAGTCCGGCGCCCACACAGGGGCCCCATAGAGGGCCATGGATCGCACGATCCCCGTATACAGCCTCCGGCAGGAGGCGTTTGCCCCTTGAGCGCGGCCCCAGTCCGTTCCAACTTAGGAGCCAAACGACGGAAATGCTCTGTGAACTTCCACCGGCTGAGGACGAGACCCAGGTACTTCATCGCCGATTCGACGCCGATGGTAAGCCCTCCCGCCGTTATTTGGGACCCATCTGGAGGTGGCCTGTTCCGACGGCCATAAAAGCACATAGCCTCGGACCTGTGGAGCGCCACCTCGAGTCCCAACTGCCGGATCCTTTCAACGACTGTCGCAACCGCTTGTGACATCAGGTCGGCCGCTTCCTGACGCGACCTCCCGTTCGCCAGCACCAGCGTGTCGTCAGCGTAGCAAACTATGCTGACGCCGCTCGGGAGGTCGATGCGTAGCACCCAATCGTACCAGATGTTCCATAGAAGAGGTCCCAGGACCGATCCCTGTGGGACACCGCGCGACATCTCTCGCCGATTCCAAAGGCCCGGTGAGTATAAATGGGACTAAGTTTCATTTTCGAATAATAAAAGCAGAATTCTGTTCATCGCGGTAAATAGTTTTAAGCTCTTCGGAGTAGGACAATATAACACCACGTGTCTATAAACAATAGCTGGGGGCGCAACTTTGTCAGCGTAGACCTCGTTAGTTGATTATGGGGAAAACAATCTAGTTATCTATAAACAATATTTGTCGTAGTTTGTTTTGTGTCAGTATAAATTATCTACTTAGATCTTCACAGAAATCCCAGAACGGTGGAAAAATACGCATTATTTGTAGTTACAATACAAAAAGCGATCTGACCTGAAAGGGTTGCATTTGTCCAAATAATAAACAAAGGTGTAATCGGATTTGCTAATATTACGTACTAAGTAATGCTTGCAACATATTTACTGCTGTAGATAAGGATAACAAAGAACGGATTACAAGTAACAAGTAAAAACGTTTTGTTAATAGGTGTCTAAATGAGCCGACTGATTGTTAAAACAGCGCTGCCACATCGAGGAGTTACAAAACCGTCAGGGTTGGAATGCAAGGGGAGGAAGGTTGGTTCTCTAGAAACCTTGACCACGCCTTTCGCAAACAACGTGGCTCACGTTGTATGATACTTAACTAGAAGACAGTGTCCTCCTATATTTAGTGCTACCGTCGCTACGCAATATTCGCGCGAATAAACGATCAAACTCATAGCTTGTCATTTTCTCACAAACGCATCTAGCTTCTGAGACCTGCAGATCGGATCTGGAATTGAGTCTATCTCCACCCCATATACTTCAATGACTTGCGGTAATTTATAGAGAACTAGGCTTGTCGTAGCCGCGTAGGTGGTGTGAGTAACTCGTAGTCATCCGCTACGACTTATGCCTGCTGTAGCCCCTTATATTAGCTACAGCGGAGGCTACAAGCAGTCAACTGTATTAAAAGTTCTAGGTCTTGTTCCCCCAAAGTTTGTTGTTGCCCCAAAAGCTAGGCGCATTTTAAAGGTTTCATCATCATCCTGATCATGATCATCATCACCATCATCGTCATCCTTATCATCATTATCAACGACAACAAACATCAACGACAATAGACTTGATAAGAAAGCTTTGGCTGTTAGAAGAAGAATATACATACGTGAGTTTACCCGCGGGTGTCATAAGAGCTGACTCAGTGACTGTGCATTAAACAGACGCCGAGCAGCAGCGGCAAAGGAAGCCTCTTGGGCAGAGTAGAGCTAAAGCCAAGGCCGGCAATGGACTGTTACAATCCAATCTCATTGTTTGTAACAGTAGTATGCCGTTATGGCTACTAGCCCTCTGCCCAGGAAGTTCTCCTCGATCTCCACGGTTCCTCCATCATTAGCCAGAGAAAGAATCTGTAACAATAAATTCATTTATTTAGGTACGTAATTCTAACCGAAAAGCAAATACGCAGTCACAAGTTTTTATCAAAATATAAAAGCAATATGAGAAAGTGTCAAAACACAATATAAACAAATGTGGTGCGATCATACCTGGTCGTGCCGAGAGTTCCTGGGAATATAAAGCTCCACATTGGGTGAAACCGTACGCGCCACTCCCATTAGCTCCGAGGCCGGCGTTGGCTCGAGCATTGTTTCAATGTCGAATTATTTATGCTGCGGACAAAACATCAAATTAATTAAGCAAAATAAAACACATGCTGCACATGCTCATGGAAAAATCTCTGGATCAAAATTAATACTTGACATCAGTCGTATTGAGCTTCTCAACTATCCAGGTCAATACATACATTTTAGATTAAGAATCATTATTGATTAGACCACTGTTAGAAACTGTATCTAATAAAATGTGTCGTAGCCTATCTGAACAATAATACAACTCACATTTGTGAATATGGCGCGACTGCATTGATTTCTCAAGTAGCGGGTAGCTACAATGTGTCACACTGGGTACCTACATACAATATAAAAACATTACCAAACGTGGCATAGAAAATAATACGAGTTATGTATCGTAAATTTGTATAAAATATGTGTAAGCTTTAAAGTAGACCTATAACTAAACTTGTTTCTAATCTTGGGTGTCACTTGGTAGTGGCTAAAACTAAGTATTGGTCGGATAACTAATGTTTTCTTGCTTTAGCTGGGCTTCAGCTCAAATATTAAACTTTTCACTAACCTCGGAATACTACCTCGGATTGCTTCTAAGCAAGGAATTGTTCCTGGCAGGATGAGGAAGACCATATCAGCTTTGACAGTTGGTGCAAACTCAATGTAATCGTGGACATCCAACACGAATGTCGATGGCAACTTTTGCATCGTGATTCGCCGTAACTGGATATTGTCCTTCTGTACACATTTACGACGACCACTGTCGTTACACTATTAGACATTAGATAATCAACGCAAACACAAGTAATAATAAACAGAAAATAACAATTTAACTTCTGTTAGGAAGATACATGATCTTACTCCGATGGATAGAAGTTAGCATATCGTAGGGTGCTTGTAAAAAAACGCAGCAAAATATCAGCTTGCGCGGGTAGAAACTTGTAACAGTATCCAGGGCCGGAATCAAAATTTTGCAATTACACACACTACAAAATACTTCTATAAAACAACTAGATGTGAACGGCATTCCTTATCTGACTACTCCGAGAAGAAATTCGAAGAAGAAGGACCTTGATTATAACTATTGATTCTGTACTGGACTTTGAGGAAATTATACCACAACAGGTTGAATGAACTTGAATATAGATTAATTTCACATTTAATGCTTTAGTTTTTGGTAACAAATAGAAGTATCAATGTGCTTATAATGCTCACAAAACGCGCGGAGTTCACTCCTGCCCAGGCCAGCAGTCTAGACAATGACACGGTAAATTATCACAATTAGTATTACCGTCACGATGATAAAGATAACTGTTTGACTTACTTACTCTGTAAGGGGCGTTACAAGGAATTTTTAGTAGGGATTTGGGGATTGGAAATTTGGGAATGAAAATTGGAGGGGGAAAGGAGCTAGTCTTCTGTGAGGCCGTGGTATATCATTGATCGATGCAATTGCGAAATAAAGTTTAAGTAACAGTAGAATTTTATTTAGTGTTATTACTTTAGTTGCGTTGTTCTCTCTGATATCTGGTTTTGTTCAACGTAAAGCAAATAAAATTTGCTTAAACACAACGCCAAAAGGTATGGCCTTCTTGACTAGATAGAATTCGCTGAACAGAATAAAACAAACTGAACGCCAAAATGTATGATGTTCTCCATAAGTTCTGGATAACATCAAGTTAATAATTGCGATTTTTCTTAGCTGGCACCGCAGCTGAAGGCGGATATGGTCTTTCTCAGTCAGCCGCGCGCCGTGGGAAGGTCCATCGTATTCTAAAGTGGCCTTCCCACGGCCACTACCTTATGGCCTTCAGGCCGATTTCCAGATCATGAATTATTAGCTGACCTGTAACAGTCCACAAGTGGTCTTAGCTTTAGCTCTACTGCCCAACAACATGGCGGTGAAAATATTTCTGCGTGTAGTATGGTAAATGCAAAGATTTGATTGCGGCCCTGGATACGGTTACAAGTTTCTACCCGCGCAAGCTGATATTTTGCTGTGATTTTTTTACAAGCACCCTACAAAGGAGATGTGGAAATCCTCCACCGTTCTGATAACTCGGTCGGTGTGACATGTTTATTTTGTGAAATAAGTAGTTTTGTTTTCTATAGTTGAATTTTATCCAATGCCTGGTTATGTTAATCAGTAATTGCAGCCGACATCGACCAAAAGAAGATATACATCAAATCCAAATTATTGTCGGCGATTCTAGTCATGATTCTTATGTAGTAAGTAAGAAACTGTGTTTCGTGCACGACGTTTAGATTAAGATATTAAGATAATTGGAGTCGAGGTGGGTAAAATATAAGTGTGAGCTCGTATCTAGCGGCTACTGACCAACAGCTTCGTGGTGAAAATATTATTCCGCGTTAATTCAAACGCAAACTTTAAACGCGCGATGTAGACATTTGTATGGCATTGTTGGGTTGTGCTGCACGTGGCGCCATTTTGTAAGTTCTATCCGCCGCAGTAAGATCATGTATCCACTTAACAGTAGTTAAATTGTAATTTTCTGTTATTTCTTACGTTTTTGTTGTTATGTTCTACAGTGATCGTCGTAGACGTGGACAGAAGGACAATATTTAGCGGCGAAACACGATGCGAAAGCTTCCATCGACATTCGTGTTCGCTGTCCGCAGTTACATTGAGTTGGCACCAACTGTCAAAGCTGATATGGTCTTCCTCATCCTGCTAAGAAGAGGAGCACTTTCCCTCCGTATTCCGAGGTTTCTTAAAAGCTTAATAAGTAAGGTGGCACCAAAAAAAAGTTTGATAAAATTAATTATCCTACAAATCACAGTTTCGTGCAGTAGTTTTAAACTTTGACAAGCATAATTTAGTTACCTCATGTAGCTGTACCTATGTGTATTATGAATGTAGTAAGGGTCCATTTTAAACGTAATTTTGTCGAGGATACATAAATTATGTTTTTTATTTATCCGGTTTAGTAATCTAATTTGATTTAGCAATTTTATTACAATTTTTGTCGGGTACCCACTTACTCAGTATATGTAACAGAATTCATAAATGTGAGAAATATTGTTTAGATGTGCATATATTGTATAGGTGGTGCAGTAGGTAAATAGAAACATTCATTACAGTTTGTGACTGTATCTACTGAAAAGCTTCCAAAATTTTGTCTGATTGAAATTATTCTTAGTAACTTTAATAATTTAGGTTATGTTCACGTAATCACGAGTGAATAAAGACTACAAATCATATATCTATATATATACAAAACACAATCATAACATATAGATACAGTACCTACTTAAGACACTTAATAGGTAATCGAATTCATAGTCGACGATTTCTTTGAGTTGGCACCGCAGCTGGAGGCGGACATGGTCTTCCTCACATTTTCTCAGTGGTGTGTATGACCCGGAACAACAATTTGGAGTTCACACAAAGACTAGTTGCGTGCGGGGATAGAACCCCCAACACGTCGCACGACAGTCGGTAGCCCAACTACCACGTTAACCGTACTGTCATAAGTGGTAAATTTATGAAATAAAGGACATGGCCAACTTTTGTATGGGCGTTTGCATAGTTATTGAATTCAATGTACATCAATGATTTTTGGTGTTTACATTCGTAAATATTATTAAATTAAATTGCAAAAAATAAAACACATGAAGAACTCGTAATTATAACAAACAAGACGAAAATAGTTTCACTAAACCTTTAGTCAGATTACTGGCCATAAGTGCACGAAATAAGATTTTGCTTTTAAAAATCATGGCGTTTTAATTATTTATTTATAAAATAAAACAAAATAATATGTATAAAGAATAATGATTTATTTATTAAGGAGAATAAATAAAATAAAACTACGTAACAATTCACTTTTATATTTTTATTATAAAGTGTATTTTATTATGTTGTATGGAATGTACGTTTCTTTAATATATGTTCTGCATAATTGGGTAATAATATGGTAGTACTTTCCATTTGAAGCGGCCTGCTTAAAACAGGTGGTAATGGTGGTGGCTCTGGTGGGCTAACCACTTGAATTTAAGGGGCTACTGCATTGTTGTCCGAACCCAATTCCTGCAAGTTTCGTGATAAGTCCTGCACTGTCTGTCTATTTGCCCGCATACAGCACACATTTGCTTCTTGAGGTCTGAAAATAAACCCCAGTTAGAATAAACACATGTTTTCAAGTTTTATGTTATTGTACAGTGAGAAGTATTATGTTACCACATGCCTATTTTAAAGAAGTCTATGCAAACATGGAAAATACATAAAGAGAGATTATAATCACACATACCTACTATGAGTACTTTTTTTTATAGATTAATATAGATAAATACAAGTACATATATAAAACAATGAATAAAAAACAAAATGCTTACCACATTAATAGTATTTTGCGATATTAGGCCAGCTAGCAATGGAGAGTCCATACTGACATTATGGTGTCTTATTTTTCGAACCGATTTTCCACAACCAAGGCAAGCCATGTTATGCCCCAGTAGTTCTCATGTTCACCAGCCTCAGTATTCAATAATAAGAAGCGTGGTTGACAAATGAATGTCCCCAGAGGCAACTAAAAAAAAATGCACTATTTAAAATCGCATACCATGATAAAACATAAAAAAACAGACTAAGTATTATATATTCCGACTTCATACCTGGGTTTCAGCTGGTTAACCAACGTGAAAGTTTTGTTTGACGGTGTGCAGAAAATGCAACTAAAACCAATGAATACAGTTTCGTATGAATAAAATGTTCCTAGTGTAATGCATTTGTCGATCATATCACACGTTTTCTACGAGTGTAGTTTAAGACACGTGGTTTGGAATTGGAACGTCTTTTTATTTATCTTTCTCTATGGACTATTATGGCGAAACTTGACAAACGAACTTGATTTTGTTGCATTACTTTTACATTTTTTTAATAATAATTGTCAGGTCTGGAGAGGCTAAAAACTACGTAATAATTCATATTTCTATTTGTATTTTACAGTGTATTAATTTTGTTCGTGTACGTGGAATGTACTTTTTTGGCCATGTCCTTTCATTGTTACAGATCTTGTCCTGGCCACCACCAATGTTTGAGGATTTGTGGAGATCGAGGGAAGCTACCAGAGGGCAGAGGCTTTCTGCGGAGTCGGCGACAGCACTACACTACAGTATGTCTGCGAGAACTAGCAACAAAAGTGACTTTATTGTAGAACCTTCTTACTTGCACCTTTTATTATATTGATTAAATTTATTAACGAATATTTACAAGGCACAGTTTACATAAACTACTTACAATCCACACATATTTTTAATGATAACAAAGGAAACCTCTTGGGCAGAGTAGAGATAAAGCCAAGGCCGGCAATGGACTGTTACAATCCAATCTCTATGGCTACTAGCCCTCTGCCCAGGAAGTTCTCCTCGATCTCCACGGTTCCGTCATCATTAGCCAGAGAAAGAATCTGTAACAATAAATTCATTTATTTAAGTACTTAATACTAACCGTTAAAAGAAGAGTATCTATATATACGTGAGTCTACCAGCGGGTGTCATAAAAGCTAACTCAGGCTTATTATCCACCAAGATATTATCTGTAACAAAGAAATTAATTTAACAATAACCAAAAGAGTATACTGAGGGAGGCCTATGTTCAGCAGTGAACATATTATGGCTGATTATACAAAATCAGAATATGGTGCGACCTCTTACCTGGTCGGGCTGAGAGTTCCGAGGAATATACAGCTCCACGTTGGGTGATATTTTTCGCGCCACCTGCATTAACTCCGAGGCTGGCCTTGGTTCGAGCATTGTTTCAATGTCGAATTCGTTATGCTGTGGACAAAAGACAACATTAATAAAATTATGCCAATCGTTCACAATGTAAAAGATTGATACAAGCCCTGCGAAGGAGACATACTTAGGTCTAAATCAATGACTAGCGGTAATTTATAGCGACTAGCAACTAGGCTTGTCGTAGCCGCGTAGGCGGCGTAACTCGTAGTCATCCGCTACGTCTTTGCGCCTGCTGTAGACCCTCATAGTAGCTACAGGCTACAGCAGTCAACCGTATATAAAGTTCAATGTATTTTTCCCCAAAAGCTAGGCGCCTTTTGAAGGTTTCGCAAACAAACTTTACTGTTTTGGAAGTACGTAACTACGTAACCGAAAAATTATTTGTTTTTAATGTAAAAAGGAACCGCCTTAAAGAAACCAATTGAAAAAATATTTTTATTATGTATCTACACTCTATTTCAATGTAGCATAAGGAAAATCATGTGAATCAACAAATAAAAATATAAATAAATAATAAACGGTTATATGTACGTTTTATGTTTATTTCTTAAAGTGTAATTAAAGCATATAAATAATACGTAGTGTACTAATATCATAATTGTAGAGAAAGAAATAAATATTTCATAAAAAATTTTTGATTTTCTGTCAAATATACTATATTTTTCCATTATTTCATAAATTAAATATTCTTTTTCGAATGAAATCGTAAAAAATAAACATTTTATCAATAAAACTCTTAAATCTCAAAATGACTATTTTTTACCTATGTTTTGGCTATTAAATACTAAAATTAATATACCTATATTATAATTATCATACCTAGTTTTTCACATATAAATTGACGTGTAAATATGCCGTTTTGTGGCCTATTTGCAAAAATAAATTCATTGTTTCATATATTTTTTTGAAAGATAGTTTATGTAACTAGATAAAATAACAAGAATAATGTTGATAAGAAAATTATTTTTCAAAATATTAAACACCAAATCTAAAAAATGTTCTCCTGTAAAATTTGAAAATGTTGAGTTAATACAGTTTTAATGCGAGAAGACGACATGTTTTTTTTATGTATGGTGAAATGTCAACAAATTTCTTAATACAGAGATTACAAAATTGGTACCTCAAACAGTTATTCGCATGTTCATTGTGACACTTTACTCGGCACAACTATGTTCGCCATCTATTCAATACGCTAGTTTACAACTAGTCAAATCCAATACTTTTATCTGAATGCCAAAAACAATACTTTTATATGAAACTAGCTACTCTGGCGCGGTTTCACCCACTGCTCGGCTCTATTTAATCCTTGGTAAAAGCGGTTCTAAAGTAATCTTTGGAACCTCTGGTTTGTATGTAGGCGGATTACCCCCTACAACTTACAAATTTCACCTATTTATAATAAGTATAGAAGAGTATAGATATAGATAAGTATAGATATATATAGATTTGTAAGAAACTGCAAATTATGAAGTCATAGTATTTAACGTCAAATAGCCTATTTACTTCTTAAAAATTTGCTAAAAAGTATCAAACAATTAGTGCATCAACAGATCGATGAATAAAAGTATAGCGAAAGACAAATGTATGAAAAGGCTATATAGAACATTTTCTTCATTTATAGTTGGTAGGTTAAAAGAATCACAAGAAGATGAAGATATCGTCAGATTCTTACTGACGAAAAATAACCCCAGTGTCCAGTGTTGTGAGCGGGAAGTACCTAATGGGATCGCAGCAGCTCCATCTGAAATGGTCTATTGGCTCGTGACCCGCCACGCGCTTTATGCTCAGGCTCTAGTTTGGCAAACATTTTTTTGTGAGTGGAAAATCATCAATTGCCTTCTCTCGCCCAGGATGGTTCGGGAAGGAGTGTCAGACTCTTACTGCGCAATACCGGCTGAAGGTAATGAAATAAAAAAAATACAAAAATGGAAAGAAAGAATCAAAATTACCTTATGTTACCTACATAAGGTATTTTTTTTATTTTAAGAAACAAAATTGATGAAAATATGTAGTCGGTCCGCAATTAAGTAGCCAGTGGCGCTGCCACATTGTCAAAAGTCAAAAAGTCAAAAATCATTTATTTCAATTAGACCACAATAGGCACTTTTGAACGTCAAGCAAGCAAAAAAGGAAAAAAGTATATAACAAGAGCTTTAAAATTAAGCGTGTCAGTCTGTCCGTCTGTCCTCTAGTGAAGCTATTTGCTCGTTCCAAAGTGTAGATTCCTATGGAGAAGAACGAGCAAGAAACTCCATGGTTACTCTTTTTCAATCAGTTTTACAATACATTTCTTTGTTACATCATTTAGTCGGTTCTGATATGTGAGAACAATGTAACACTAATGTTCAGGCAAAAAGTACGAAAAAGAAGTGAACCTCAAGGACAACATAATTACACAGCCTGGAGCTGACCAGTCCCAATAGGCGGCGCCCGTTCACGATCATGACACGTACACCAGCACCGCCCAACTCAACCATATTATAGGGAATTGGGCGATCCAGTGCCCGTGCCACCGCCAATGAGACCTCTGAGTGAGCATGACAGCTCCCAGCCGACACAAGTACCTATATTCTACAAGTCTTACTTAATTATAATAGGTTACAGGGCACTCACATTTACAAAAACTTAGAAGATCATCAACAATTAACAACATAGTGTACAAATTAATAATTAAAATCAAAAATTCCTCTAAACATCCTGTGGAGTAGGACCAGCTAGCCTCCAAGCATTTTTATCTTGTATATAATCATTTAGTTTGTAGTATGCTAGTTTACATAAATGTTTCTTTATACATAATTTGAATTTGCTTTCATTTAGATTTTGAATTTCAACTGGGATTTTATTATAACATTTAACACAGAAACCCAGGAATGACTTATGCACTTTTGCCAATCTAAATAAAGGCTGACTCAATCTATTCCTATGTCTAGTATGATAATCATGTTTGTCAGATACCTTTACAAATAAGTGTAGGTTTTTCCTAACATACATAATGTTTTCATAAACAAATTGACTCGGTACGGCCAGAATGTTGATCTCCTTAAACTTTTCTCTGAGAGATTCGCGACGACCTAAGTTATAAATAGCTCTGACGGCACGCTTTTGCAAGATAAAGATAGACTCAACGTCGGATGCCTGTCCCCACAACAGAATTCCATACGACATGATGCTGTGAAAGTAGCTAAAGTACACTAGTCTTGCCGTGCCTACATCGGTTAGCTGACGGATCTTCCAGACAGCATAAGCTGCAGAGCTCAATTGTCCTGCTAGAGACCTGATGTGGGGCCCCCATTGCAACTTCTCATCTACAGTGATCCCCAGAAAAGTAGTCTCTTTTACAAATTCTAGTTTCTGATCATTTAATAATATATCATCACATACGTTACTTTTAACATTTGGTAAAATAAATCTAATGCATTTTGTCTTTTTATCATTTAGTAATAAGTTGTTTATTGTAAACCAATTTTGAACCTTCATTAAGGCATTATTAACTTCGTCATACTTGTTTGTTCGTCTACTTATTATGAAGTGTCATCAGCGAACAATACCATATGCGGTTCATTTTGGAACAAATGGGGCAGGTCATTCACATAAACTAAAGATAGAAAAGGACCTAATATTGAGCCCTGCGGTACGCCCATAGATACGCTAGCACCCAGTGAGTTAACTTTGTTGACTTGTACTTTAATTTTTCATTCTTGAAGGTATGATTTCAATAAAGAAAAAATTGAGGTCTTACGCGAGTGTTACCGGCCTTTTGAAATCAGGGTTATGTATGAGAATTGGGGATTTTTTTGGATTGCGTATGGAAGGGGAGGAAGATTGATAAACTCACAGCGAAACATAACGCACAGAACGTGGCTCACGCCAGCGAGGTTCTTATCTAAAAGGTAGTGTCCTCCTATATCATTGTCTTTGATGATTAAAGTGTTGTTTTATTACCTAGGTACCATTCGTTTCCGGTTTGAGTCGTTGTTTGTGTTTAAAAGGGGTCACTTAAGGTCTTTCAAGATGAAAGATAACATTCGAGATAAAATCAAATGACATCTTTTATTATATTGATTAAATTTGTTAACGAATATTTACAAGGCACAGTTTACATGTACTATTTACAATCCGCACAAATTTTTAATGGTAACATATCACAAAATATTGCACACTTACAAAAAAAGTTTTTTAGCTGTTCTGATCAAAAAATCAAATCAAATCTGTTAGAAGTTGAGTATACATACGTGAGTCTACCTGCGGGTGACTCACTGACTGTGCATTAAACAGACGCCTCTGGACCAGAACTTTTCAAACAGCTATCTCCAACCCGCCCGCCATCGTGAACATTCTGACACAGGAAACCTCTTGGGCAGAGTAGAGCTAAAGCCAAGGCCGGCAATGGACTGCTACAATCCAATCTCATGATCGATTGTAACAGTAGTATGCCGTTATGGCTACTAGCCCTCTGCCCAGGAAGTTCTCCTCAATCTCTACGGTTCCGCCATCATCAGCCAGAGAAAGAATCTGTAACAAAAAAATCATTTTTTAAGTACTTAATACTATCCGAAAAGCAAATCAGCAGTCACAAGTTTTTATCGAAATATAAAAGCAACATGAGAAAGTGTCAAAACAAATGTAGTGCGATCGATCGATCAAGAGATATTATGTGTAACAAAGAAATTTATTTAACAATAACGAAAACAGTATACTGGGGGAGACCTTCGGCATGTTCAGCAGTGAACATATTATGGCTGATTATACAAAATCAGAATATGGTGCGACTTCTTACCTGGTCGGGCCGAGAGTTCCGAGGAATATACAGCTCCACGAACGGTGATATTGTTCGCGCCACCTGCATTAACTCCGAGGCTGGCCTTGGTTCGAGCATTGTTTCAATGTCGAATTGGGTGTGCTGTGTACAAAACATTGAATTAATAAAATTATGCAAATAGTTCACAAGGTAAAAGCCCTACGAATGAGATCTAAATCCAATAGATCTAAATCCAAAATTGCGGAATAAAAATAAAATCAAAGTCCAGGTCGATACACATGTTAGATTAAAGTTCTGTTATTGATTTCGATTGTTAGGTGGGTGTTGAAACTGGAGACAATTGAAGCTTGAGGACAAAAACCTTTAATGGTTGTGTTCTGCCAGTATGGTACAACAAAATCTTATCGTTTACAAACAATATGACAATGGACATGTGATCTCCTAATGGTACTTTAAAGTTACTTACTTTGGAATACGATGGACCTCCCCACGGCGGACTGAGGAAGACCATGTCGGCCTTCAGTTGGGATGCTAACTCAAAGAAATCGCCGACAATGAACTGGATTTTATCCAAAACTCCATAAATTTTGGCGTTCTGTTTGGCCATTTCAATTTTCATTGGGTCGATGTCGACCGCGATTACTGTTGAACAAAACCAGACATTAGAGAGAACAACGCAAGAAATAACACGAAATAACATTCAACTACTGGTTTCTAGTGGGAAACAGTAGGCATCGAAGAAAAGTGTCACCTTTGTTGGACGTTCGTGCGAACTGTATAGTGTTGCCGCCGGCACCGCAGAACGCGTCCAAGACAACATCATAGCGGAACTTGTTCGCTATGTGGCTCGCCACGTTCTCCGGGGTCACGCTGAACCAGCTCTCGCGGTCCAACTTGATGCCTTCGTCGAATCTGTTGCCAAGGAAACAGAACTTTGTTAAGTACACGTCTGCATCAAAACAACGTCTCGTTTGAGAAATCAAGTTGATTTTCTTATTGGACGAGCAAAGAAAATAAGTACAAATATCACAGAATAAAAAACCTACCTGTGGAAGAGGATGTGCCTCTTCCGCCAGTATTTGTGTAGTACGGGGTCCTCCTCCACTTCGGCCGGCATACGCTCCTCCGATTTGATTCTCCAATTCTGAAGACTACTGTATTTTCTATAACAAGGCATATTACTTGTATTATATTCCTATTAGGTACTTGTTGTCGCAAACAGCAATGGCAACTGATGACTGAGCGTCTATGTGCCTGCGCATTACCAGTACACGAAGGGTGCGTGGGGGTGGGGGTGTAATTAGCGCAGGTAGCAACCAATTGCCAAATGATCAATCAGAGGAAGAAAGAAACACATTCTTAACTAATGATCATGTTTCATTAATTATTCTGTTTTTAACCGACTTCCAAAAAAGGAGGAGGTTCTCAATTCGACCGTATATATGTTTTTTTTTTTTTATATGAACCGATTTTGATAATTCTTTTTTTATTGGAATGGAGATAGTCCCAGAATGGCCCCATTAAAAGGAAATCAGGATCTGATGATGGAAGACCAGAGAAATCGAGGGGAACTTTAAAAAATTGTAGGGGCGAGTGGTGCTTTTGCATATGATTTCAGTAGGCTTTTGACAAATTTACAACTTGCCGATGTTCGAACCCGACCTGATGATGGAGCCGGAAGACAGTCGAGGGATCTCCTTGACTATTTGGAGTAGTTGCCTTGTGTTTGGGCTTGAATGATTCGTATTAGTGAGTACTTTGCACCAAGATTGGTCGTGACTGTCATTAAGGGTCTGATGATGAGAACGATGGACAGCTCAGGGAACTCTTGAACGGTTTACAGTATCTACCTCGTGTTTCGACTTCGTTCATTTATATCGTTGATTATCTGATGATGGAGCCGGAAGGCGGTCGAGGGATCTCCTTGATTATTTGGAGTAGTTGCCTTGTGTTTAGGCTTGAATAATTCGTATTGGTGAGCACTTTGCACCAAGATTGGTCGTGACTGTCATTAAGGGTCTGATGATGAGAACGATGGACAGCTCAGGGAACTCCTGAACGGTTTACCGTAACTACCTCGTGTTTGGACTTAATTCATTTATATCGATGAAAACTTTGCACCTTTATGGATTACAATGAAGTTATGCAGTAAATTGTGATGATGGAGCCGGAAGACCGTCGTGGGATCTCATTGACTATTTGGAGTAATTATAATGTGTTTGAACTTCATTCATTTATATTGATGAGAACTTTGCACCTATATAGATTATGTATAATGAAGGCCAGCAGTATACCTGATGATGGAGGTCATTGACATTTGAGGGAATTCCTCAACGATTTACGGCACTGAAAGCTAACTAACTCAGGACTGCCATTACCGTGATTTTCGGTCACAAGTAGCCGTCGTCATCTCTTTTGAGAAGCATCCTAGCTTTCTCTGCCTATCACTTAAAATGGTGAAATAAAATAATTTTTAACAAAAAAAAAACCGACTTCAAAACGTAAACTAAAAAGTATAAAATAAATTTACTTCGTTTAAAGTAATACATATTTTCATTTAGTTAAATATAAAATAATATTTAATAACTATTTTATAATTTTGAAGTCGGTGCCAAGTAAATGCTACATACCAAACAATAAGAGTATTAGAAAAATATATTGAATACTACACAATCATCAAACTAGCAAGAGGTATGTAGGTAATATCTTTACACTATT